TATAAATTTTCCCATAAAAGTTTTTTTTTTTTTCATCTCTAAACTTTAATCTCTACCTAAAAAAAAAAAAAAAAAAAAAAGGAGAAACAAACACAAACGAAGAAATATAAGTAGGAAAGAAGGACTCTGGTCCACTGAATATTTCAGAAGTCTCTTCACTCCAGAAGGACCTGGCATCAGATGAGAGATACACAATTTGTCTGCACCTCCATGATAAGCAGTAGCACTCAGGGACAAGCCCTGGTACTTGGAAGCAGGGTGCTTCCTGCCCACACAGAAGGCTTCTACATGGAGCTCCCGGAACTCATTCATGGGTACCTATCTCTGTATCTCTCACTCCCTTCCTGTCTCCCTCCCTTTCCCTCTTTCTCTCCCTACCTTTCAAATGAAGAAATACCAATTATTTTTAAAATGCAATTCACCCAATTGTGAAATAACAAAAAATATTTTATTCAATTTGAGATAATGGCAATATTTCAAAATGAAAATTTCTGTAGGTGTCCATAAATATTGATGTAAATCTACAATATGATACTATATCAGATTGAAAGTCTCACATATGAGGGTTTGGATCTGGGGACTGATAAGACATTAGGTGTGGAAAACAAAGTTGGACAAGGAAAAGTTTATCAATTTGGGACTGTTCTACAATACAGGATTTAAAAGCCCAGCACAGGTGTCAGTGTTGCGGCATAATAAGTTAAATTGCCTGCCATGCCAACATCCCATATGGGTGCTGACTAGAGTACCAACTGTTCCATTTCAGATCCAGCTCCCTGCTAAAGCACACAGGAAAGCAATGGAAGATGGTCCAAGTCTTTGGCTCTGAACCCTTATGTATGAAGCCCTATGAGAGACCAGGCACTTCTCGGGTGCAGCCTGTCCCAATGCTAGTTGTTACATGCAATCATTTGGGCAGTGATTCAGTGGATGGACTTTGTGATAAAAATAAATAAATCTTAAAAAAAAAAAACAGAAATTCACTAGGTTGCAGGAATAGTCTAGATTTAAGATTAAAAAGTTCGATATATTATATGAAGAACCAAAGTAAATAAATAGCACTAACTCACTACTTTCTACTGAAATTTACGAACATTAAGAAAACCAAATGGGCATACATTTGGCAAGCATTTCAGACAATTCTTAAAGAAACTTCATCCCCTTTCAAAGAGCAGAAGTTTGAATTCTTGTTGTTACGCCACATGTTGGCTTCTTGTTGACTTGACCCCTGGACAGAAGGCAGTAGATGGCTGCTCACGTAGTTAGCTCATGCTACACATGTGGGAAACCCAGACAGTCCCAACTTTTGGCTTCAGCCTGGATGGTGAGGGGCATTTGGGAAATGAATCAGGAAATGGAGGACCTGTCTTTTTGGTTCACTGAGTTTGTCTCCCGACCTTTCAAATAAGCATTTTTTAAAGAATCCATCTGTAAAAAGAGCTTAGAAATAATTACATAAGCCAAACCTATTTAATACTGACTTGAGATGGTGTTTTCTGACCTAATGTGAAGAGATAATAAATTTTATAGACAATTCCAATGAAATGTTATAAATGTGGCTGACTTTTCACCCCAGGCTATGGGTTGGCAGTACCTCCACCAAGCAAATTTATTTGCAAATTTATTTTTTTTAGATTTTTATTTTATTTTTATTGGAAAGGCAGAAATACAGAGAGGAGAGACGGAGAGGAAGATCTTCCGTCCAATAATTCACTCCCCAAGTGAGCACAACGGCCGATGCTATGCCAATCCAAAACCAGGAGCCTCTTCCGAGGTCTCCCACGTGGGTGCAGGGTCCCAAAGCTTTGGGCTGTCCTTGACTGTTTTCCCAGGCCACAGGCAGGGAGCTAGATGGGAAGCAGGGCTGCTGGGATTAGAACCGGCGCCCATATGGGATCGCGGGCATGCAAGGCGAGGACCTTAACCACTGCGCCATCGTGCCGAGCCCCACCAAGCAAATTTAAAAGTCAGTAGGTCAAAGTCACGTTTATTATTATATCTACATTTTACAAAATATTGGTATACACTTTGAATATCTTTTTTTTTAATTTTCTTACAAAATAATAAGAAAAATGTATTAGGGTATTATAAGAGAATAAAACAATGCCTCTAAAATTCTTGTATTTTACAGTCTGTGTAAATATGAACAAGTATAAAGGAAAAAAACAAACATTACAGACATGCAAAATACTGAGATAATTTATCTCCATGGATCCTTTCTGAAAATTGTTCAAAGAGATGCTTCAGAAAATGAGGAAAATGCAATGCATAAAAGGAAGATGTGAGAAGTAAGTACCGAGGGCAGCTGAGTGTCAGACAAGCACAGAACAAAGGGCCGCTGCCTCGAAAGCACGAGTTTCTGTACCCCTGAACGGAGGGTATTCTCTTGCCTTCTCCATGCTTCCATTGTTGGTGAAGTCTGCAAAACTCATATGCCCTTAAAACAATGCAAGTGAATGCTTTTTGTGGGATAAAGTTCTTGTTAATATTTAAAGAACAGAAAATAGAATTAGGAACACACATTAAATGTAAATAATCTCCAATGTGACTAAATATATCTAACATAATTCAATTCAGTGAAGCCCTAAAAGCCTCTTTATTTCTAGAGAGCGGTCAATAACTATCATCTCATCAAATAATACAAAAATAAAAATGGAATCCAGCCTTTTCTTGTAACAATAAGCACAAGAAAAGTGAAAAGGAGATATTCATAAAAATGATTACTCAGGATATGAAGGACTCACTTTTTCTATTTATTATTTTTTATTATAAATGTTCTTTTTTTATTATACATTATACATTGCAATGTGATATCAAAAAGGGAAATACTATACGCTGACATGTAATATACTCATCCTTATATTTAAGCAGTTTTTGTGTCACACTAAAAGTTAGGCTTGTATTACTAAAGATTTACCAACAAAAAAAACATTTAATAAATCTTAAGAATGGTTAACTGCCTGAAAGGAAATATATATATATATATTATTAGAAAATGAAACCATTGGTGAGAAAATCAGTACCATCAGTAAACAATCCTTAACTCAAAGGGGCAACTATCACCAATACTATAATCCATAAAAATGGCACTTGATCTTCATCAAAAGAGCGCAAACAGAAAGGAAAAGTAAACCACTAATCTGAAAATATTTCAAAAGGTTATCAAAATTTAATCTTCATTTTATTCAATTATACAAAATAAAACCACGTTTTATTCCTTAGAGAAAAAAATATATAATTATTTGTATTAGCTAAGTAAATGCTGCAATTTGAATTTGATAAAGAAACTTTATCCTTCTTTAGTATAACCACTGCAGAAAACATAATTCTCAACATTTTCTTCTAAAACAAATTTTGGTGGGCCAGTGTTGTGACACAGTAAGTTAAGCGGCAACCTAAAGTCTTTTTTTTTTTGTACTTTTAGATATGTATTTTTTCAATTCTTATTTTCCATTTTACAATTTTGCAAACATAGGGCTTCCTTGCTCCCCACCCCTCTTCCTCCCTTCCTCCACCTAGTCCTCTGTATTTTGCAGTACAATAGTCTAACAAGTGTAGTCTTGACTGCAACTTTCTGTTCTTTATGGGGGTCATGACACTGCTGATATAAGTAATGAGAGAAAGTTTAATATTCTGTTGTCTAGGTATATTTAGAAGTTTCATCTAGAAGTAGAGATGCATACTCTGTTCTCCATTACCATCCTTCGTTTGTGAGATTACAAATGGATGTTTGTCTACCTTTGTTGAACTGAGACCCAACTCTTCCACTTTCAATCCACCTCCCTGCTGATGCTTTGGGGAAGGCATGGAAGATGGCACATATGCTTGGGTGCCTGCCCCTACATAAAAGTTCTGAAAGCAGCTCCAGGCAGCTGGCTTCAGAGTGGCCCCGTCCTGCAAACTGTGCCCATTTGGGGAGTAAACCAAAGGATGAGAGATCTTTCTTTCTCTGCCTTTTTCTCTCTTATTCTGTAAATCTGTTTTTCAATAAACAATAAATAAACCTTTTTAAAAAGGAGTTAGAGAAATCTATTATAATGGTTAATGTTATTAAGCAACAGCCTCAGCTACACTCTTATATAATTTTCATAATAAGAAACTAAATCATTTACAAATCTATGTAATTTTATTCCTTCACTTTTTTGTCTCTTTGGATACTTTTGATATTATTTTTTTAACTCATTATGAAAGACTTCAATTACCAGAATGATTGCAAAACAAGGGTACCAGATATGGGCAAAATCTTAAATGGAACTATATTATATTTCATCTTATTTTTAAAAGATTTATTTATTTACTTGAAGGGCAAAGAAACTAGAGAAATGAACCATTATCTGGTTCATTTTACAAACAGCCAAACAACCAGATTGGGGCAGGCCAAAGCCAGCAACCTATTATCCCGATTCCCATGTAGGTGACAGGAGCCCAGGTACTAAGGGCATCTTCTGCTATCTGTAAGTGCACTACAAGGAAACTGCATCAGAAATGGAGTAGACAGAACTGAAACTGGCACTCAGTATGGGATGGTGGTTTGTGTAGGTCAGGTTTAGGGCCAGGTTCCCAGTCAAACAATGGCACAATGTGAGTGCACTAATCTAAGATCTCACAGAAAGTTGTTTCACACAGAGGCTAAGTCACCTTGCAAAACATCATTCCATATCAGAGTATTGGGATTCAAGCTCAGACTCTGCTTCCCATTCCAAGTTTCTACTAATGTGCATCACTGGAAGTAGCAGGTCATGGACAAATATTTGTTTCCCTGACACGCAAGTGGGAAACCCATATTGGTTTCCAGGATTCTGACTTGGCTCAGCCATTCCAGTCATCTGAAAAGTGAACTAAGAGATGAAAGTTCTCTATTCATTCATTTTCCCTCCCTCTCTCTCACTCTCCCTTTCTCTTTCTTTTTGTATATCTACATTCCAAATATATTTTAAAACAGCCAAATATTTGGTGATTAACTGTGAATTAATGGGAGTATAATAAACAGCATACCATACCTTTTTATTGTCTTTCTTCTTTGTTTTACTTTTGCTTTGTTCCCTGGCTTCACGAAGACCTTTCTGAGTAGGACCCTCTGGTGTATTTTCTTTTTCATAATTGTGACGAACTACAAGATAGTACAAATTATATTTAGCATTTATACAGTCTATCTGATCACTTATAACCACAAGACACCAACCAAGCTCTTAATTCAAATGTTTTCAAAATAATTAAAAAGAATATTTAAATCAGATCAAAATACCTTAAGTTAAAGTATCAAAGTTTAGGTCCCACAAAGTGCGGTGTTATTACTACAAAGTTAATTAAAAGGCATGGGGAGTACAGAAACAAATTTCAAATCATGTCATTTCTAACTCCTCTTGCAAAGTTTTGTATTTTCTCAAGTATTTTAAACAAATTTGAAGAGGACCAAAGACAAGACAAAATCTCCCAAGTGAACTGAATAATAAATAATAAGACACTTTTTCAAAGAAAAAACTATATTAATCAAATACTATTATCTATGCTTTCCTATGTCAAAACCCAAAAGAAACACAGGGTAGTAGCCCAATACATTTGCAATACTGGTCTCCCACTCTCCTGGAGGAGTCTTCCCTGATTCGAGTGTGAAAACACTGACAGGAATATTCCTTTTAGCTTCGTCATCTTTTCATATAAACACACTTATTTAGTTACACGTAACTCCCAACTGTTTGTAAACTGCAAGATGATTTCAAATAGGTGTAACAGTAACATTTAAATATAGGAATCAGTTACATTTAAATATAGGAATCAGTTCAGTAATGTAATTTTATCAAAGAAAAGATGATTAACAGACAAGAAAGGATTTTTAGGATGATTTCAATGTCAAGGCTCTCAAGAAATCATGAGACAAGAAAGCTAAATACAATGTGATAAATATTTAGTTTTTATAGACAGGGGAGAAAATCTCCAAAATAACTCTAAAAATAACATAAAATAATACTATTCCACAGCCCAGTCCTACATGAAAGTACTTGAGATATCTGAGTTTCAGATTGCTTCTTCTTCCTCAACAGTGTTACAAGTTGCAGTTCCATAGCATCTAAGAAGGTCAGGAATGGGGGAATGGCAGCACTCACAGCATATTGAGATCAAGCAAACATTTTCATTTTTATTATGTTGCATTATACTTTCCCATTCAAAGACCAATGGTGTCAATCTACTAATGATAATTGAAAACAGTAATAATTAACCTTCACAGTTCACTGATCATTTAATATCTAATAGCCATAGCTATAAATAATTTGTACATAGTGTTACACTATGTAACTGCTTAATAACTTTTTTTATCTCATCTATGAAGGGGAATTTATACAACAACATCCACAGGAAACAAGGGAGAACACAGCAGGGAGAAAAATTCAGTACTCCTACAATTCCAGGAATGTGAGTAGATATCTTATAGAAGACAAAATTACTAGGCACTACTTTATCAGAAAAATAAAGCTAAAAAGAAACAAAAAAAAATTCAAGAATCACAGGTTCAAGTGATAATTCAAGAGAATTCAGTTTGTGAAGATATATCGCTGTTCCTCAAAATTAAATTACAAAAATATACACTTTAGTAAACTTTTAGAAGTCTTTTTTTTAAACATAGTAATAGTTTGAGAATACAATGAAATACACATACTGCTACAATAATAATGATCATCATTCACAATTATTTATCAGTAAATAAACATTTGTATTTTCCATCAAATAGCACAAATTACAGGTTCAGACATTAAAATCTGTATCGCATTCATGGTTAATATAGATAATTGTCAAAATGCCTAACACATTTCTTAATGCTTAGTTCTATTCTATCAGTGTCCATGTCTCTATCATCATGTCCTCTAATTTACCATCTACAGCATTTTATTGACAAATCCTACAGGATCACCTGTTGTTCCACAGTTACCAAATTTCCTCTACTGTAATCATCATTTTAAAGAATGTATAATTCCATCAAGGAAATAACACAAACATCAAATAAATAAGTACTTCTTCATTTATACAAATTATATTTATTGTACCTAAAAATACAAACCTGCATGAATTCAATGCTTCATTTATTTATATATAAATACATTCAGTTTAAATATTTCATCAAGAATAACTCACTGTTCATAATTTCTCCTAGGAATTTTTCTACTATTCCATATACCATACAGGAACAAACTGAGAATTAAAAATTTGTGAGTGACAAGGCTAGGCTTCAAGTTATTAATATTCTATGCTAAAAAAGTTGGTTGTTTAAATTTTCATAGTTAAAATTTCGTTTAGATTATAAAATGTGTGTAAATTTATTTAGTAACTCTGCTCCAAACTAGCCCAAATGACTGTCTCATTCCTTCAGTTTGAACTAAACAATAATTATTCTGCATTGTTCTTAATTATAAGACTAAATGACAATCTGTTGCTTTCTAACATCAAAGCAGATAACTTTAACTTTCAAGAATCTCTAGTTGCACCAACCCCTGCCCAAAAATGGACAAATGTATCATTACACGGAAGACAGAGAGATAGAGGAAGAAGGCCAGCCAGAGGCAGAGGGATATTTAAATTAAACTGAGATGTGAGTAAACCAATGAACAGAGGGGAAGTAAAATAAAATAATTCTGAATAATCTCATATAATATAAACAAAAAAAAAACAATAATGAAATAAGGATTTATCAGGAGCACTGTCATTTCAATATTCAGTCCTTGGCTAAATAGGATTCCAAATTCAAGCCCCTGGAAGATGGAAAGTCTAAAATCACCAGAAGCTTATGAAAATATATTGCCAGCCCATATGTAAAACTACAATGCAAGAGGTTAAGAGCTTAAAATTATTTAGCACACAATTCCAGGAACTAATTTTATGCAACCATTTTCTATGCAAAACTAAGCCTATTTCTTCATCTTAAGTCAGAATATATTCATTTCATTAAGCCACTTTAAAATGCACAAACAAAAATACAATCACAAATTAATCCTCAAAAAAAAAAGATTTGTAAATGTCAGGCTGTGTAATGGGTCCTTTTACAGCTAAGGCCTTAATTATAACTTAATTGTGTAAGTTATCTATAAACCATTAGTCTATTTTAGTGGAAATGTCAAGGAAAAGTGTACAAGAGTGTAAATTACTAAAGTATAATGAATCTTTAGAAGTTAACTAATATAAATGTAAACCAAACATATAAAGCTTCACAACCTTTAAACTTTTTTAGATTTAACATTGTTAACAACTTTAGTTACACTGAAAGTTACAGCTCCTAAGAACATCAAAATTTACACTACATTTTTATATTTGCACCATATTGGAGTCTCCAATCAATGCAAGTATGAATATAGTTTCTGATGTTGTCAGCTAGATCATTTACAACAAATGTGATAAGGAAAATATGTAGTCACATGACATAAAATTATGTGAATGATATGGGGCATATGTTTCAATATTTCTTTGCATATGCTTAACAGATATGCACTTACACTATGTAAATGTTTTATTCTTTACTATAATAACATTATAGCACAAAATCCTGTGCATGAGTTTTATAGACTCTGTATTGTTGTATGACAACTATATTTTAGCATTTACTTGACAATAGAAAGTAGGAGTGTTTACACTATTCTGTTTCCATAAATAGGAATACAATGAACATGCACATGGTCTCTTTGGGTATCACTGAGTGTAACTGATAATTTGTTAAATAATTAGGAAAAATAACAAGAAGGGAAGATGAATAGACAAAGCAAAGAGGAATTTCAGGCAGTGAAATTATGTGATATTATGTTAGTTGTATGTCTATGTAAATTTGTCAAAGCCCATACGAGCGTGCAATATCAGGTAACATGAATATAAACGATGGATTTATGAAGATAATGTAGACTCTTCAACTGCAACAAACACATTGCTCTGGGGAGTTCATAGCAATGGAATTTATACGAGTGTGAGGACAAAAAATAGATGAGAAATCGCTATCTCCTGCTCAGTTTTGCTAAGAACATAAAATTACTCTAAATATAAAGCGTATGGAACGAAATTAAGCTAAGCCTCAAGAGAAACACAATGACCATTTTATGGGAACATCTGGCTTCTGGAAGCTAACACCCCATATTTTAACTAAGAATGGTAAGTATTGAATGAAAAAAGAGGAAAAAAATCAAAATGAAAATTTTGCTTTTTTGAAAGACATAGCAACAAGGGTTTAATGGGATGAGGGGGAAGAAAGAGATTTTCTCTATATAATGATATAAAGATAGAGATATATCTATATATCTATCTATTTAAAAGCATATCTAAATATATATAGAGTTAGAGATATTTCTAGATATATAAAGAAATAGATAGATAGATAGATAGATAGATATAGATAGGTAGATAGATTTTTTATAATCTCTTATTCTTTTATTCCTGGTTCACTGCCCAAATTCCCACACAGCTAAGACTGAACCCAACAGATGTCACCAGCCTAGAACTCCATCCAAAACTCCCATGTAGAGGCAGGAACCTAAGTACTTATACTCTTAATCCTCACCACTACTTCAGATAATGTGCTTTAGCAGGTAACTGAAATGAGAAGTGAAGGCAGGAATACTAAAAACTCCTACATTAGGTGATATTGTCTCCAACAGCAACTTCACTGGCCAAGTCGTTAACATTTACCCAAGAATGCTTTTAGATCTAAGAGGAACACAATGAAGGCCCACTAGAAAGAATGTCATATTATCACAATTAAGAAAATTCCCCATTTTCCATCCTTCTAGAGTTTCAAATCTTTAAGGTCAACTATAATGAAGTATAATTTATACACAATAAAATACACAGATATTAAGTGTACAATTTGGTAAATTTGGCAAATATAATCCTTCACACAGATCCACCAAATTCAAAATATGAAGTATTTCTACCACATAATTAATTTTTCACCTTATACTTTCACTTACAAATTTCAACTTATACTGCTGTAATTATTTTAATGACACAAAATTCACCTATAAAATTAAAGAAAATCTGATCTTTATCACAATCATAATTTAATATATTTTAAATGAAGCAAGTTTTACAAACATATCAAAATTCTACATATTTATGTTGTACTACAAGATATTTTGATACCTGAAATAATTATATAATATCCAATCATGGTAAACATATCTACTGCTTCACATCTAATATTTCTTTATGGTTAAAAAAAAAAATTCATTCTAGTGGTGTTAAACATTTCGGATTTTCGGTAATCTATTCCGGCACATGTTCTCTTTGATCCAAAGGAAATACCTTATGATTCCTTGTACTACAAAGGTATCAGTGTTCAGTTATGATAAAATGTCCTTATTTCACTCTAATTCAAGAAAGATATTTTTACTGGATAGATAGTTCTAAAATAAACACTTCCTACACTTTAAAAATATTTTTGTTGCTTCTAGTTTCCATTAATTTTTTTTACAAGAAACCATTCTTTATTTCTATTATTAGCTGCCATTATGGAACAGGCCTTTACTCTCCAGCTGTTTCAAGGGTTTTTTTGAGCTTAAATATTCAAAGGCTTGCGTATGATTTTTCCTGGAGTATCCTTCTTTGTGTTTACCTGTGTTCTTGGATCTGTAAATTGGTATCTAAATTGGCTCTCCTAAAATAGAACACTTTCACATTCATCTTCCATTGGAGCTGCCTCTCTGGAATCTCTTCTATGATTTTACCTGAATAGTCCTTATTATGTTTCCTCGTCTACTGGGCCATGACCAAATCCACTCCCACATGCACTAAGACACAGATCACACATTCGGGTAAAGCGACTTGCAGGAAGTAAAACCATTGTCCCTTCTGATTCTTTCATCCTTACACACACACAATTGTTTCTGGAGCAGTCAGTTTCTTTAGCTTCCTGAAAGCAAATGAGTCTCTAATTCATTCAAGATCCTGACATTGCATAGCAGAAGGAATATCAACACAGACAAATGACCTATTTTTTTGTAACTCAAGCTTTCATCTTGTCAGTTCTTTCTCCCAGAAACTGGCTGTTTATACCTTTTAAATAACCTTTTCCTCGTCATATGTGAGTTGTGGCTTTCAAGATTTCAACATTTGGAACTTTAATCTTTTGTGGTTGTTTCTTTTGGAATCATCATAATCACCACTTGGGCAGCTTTAGCCATAAGCTAAAGATATGCAGTCACTCCCTCACAAACTGGGCTTCTTTTCAATGTGCCTCCCTCTTTGCTGACCACTGCCACAGAATCCACCTGCTTCAAGGAGACTAAACAGTCTGACTTTGTAACTCATAATGGTTATATCCTTCCTGGCATTCATCTCTCTGGAAACTTGCTCATAAACAAAGCAATGGTGACAGTGGAAGTCACCTTGCAATTTTCCCTCTGTCATCTATCTTCTGTGATTTATGCTATTTTCGAATGCCTAAAAGTTGCCTCATTTATATAGCTTAGTTTTGGGATAATTTATGGAAAGAAGACTAATACGGTAACAGGCGTTCCATCACAGCAGAAGTAGAAATCCTTTCAAGACAGTTAACATTTTTTCTTTAAAATTAGCCAATACAGTATCATACCCATATTTTCTATTAACTTTGCATTAACCATTTGTGAAAGTTACCATACCACCTTTTTTTTTCCAGTATTTTTAGGATGCTGACCAGTTACAAAGTTGAAAACTCAGCAAACAGTACTGGAGTTTTGTTACATTTTGCTTTTACCTTTAATTTCAGGAACATGACAAATATGTCCTGTATCTATGTTCTTCAATGCTTCTTGAAGTCCAGAAACCTAAACAATAGAATTCAGATACTGGGTCATATTCTAAATTAGTTTTAAAATGTTAAAATGCAATGGCTAGATGTTGATTGCAAAGCATCCAAATATAAATCTCTTGGATTAATGCTGAGAAATTTTTTCCTTTAAAGATAAATTTTATCAAAAAGATGACACAATTTCAATTTAAAATTCGATCTTGCAAGCAATTATTTATTGCTATTGTAATGGGATGCAAGCTGGTTATTAGCTAGGACCTGCTTGCCAGATTCAGTGCGGACAGTGCAAAAATGGAGTTTCCAGGACTGCCCCTCCCACCTCCTCCTTGCCACTCAAGTTGATGGAATGCATGAAACCGAATGCCGAGGTTCCTCATAGATGTTCTGCCCCTCTTGCCTCTGATATCATTCAAGTTAACAGTGTGGAAATGGCTCCAGAGGCTCAGGACACCTAGCCCCTATTGCCTCCTACTATGCTAGGTTATATTAATTAACCACAGGGAAACCTTGGGCACAAGAGCTCCCTTGCTGCCTCCAAACACTTAGTTAACTAAATGTATGGAAATCTTGTTTGTCCTATACATCAAGCCAGTCGCCACCTTTCCTACTCTCCTCCTCATGCTCAAGCCACTTCAGAAATACTCAGGGGACATGCACTGCCCCCCCTACCCCCCGGTGATGAAACCATGGAAGCAACAAACTTATTCATTCCCTTCTGGGATGCGTGTGGCATTGTCAGTCTCAACATCCAAACCAAACGGGATGAAAATCCGTCTCCTTAGGTATGCATTACAATTCCCTTGTCCGCTAACAGAAACCAATGCTTTATTGGATTTTTTTTCTTTTTCTTTCTTTTTCACTTTTTGAATGTTTTGTTACAGTACAAGAAATTGTTTTACGAGCTTCAGGCTGTCTTGATCTGTTTCCTGCCCTGCACTATGTTCAGCTACCTTCTATACTGAATCACAGAAAAGGTCATGGGAAATGAAACTGAAGTCAATTTTGATACAAAATAAACACTGAAACTAACAGACTGTTCAGAATGCTCATTTTTCATACATATTTTGAAGATCCTTTGTGTCCTTTTTAATTACTCTGATTAGTCTCTTGAGCCAAAAAGGAAAAAGAAAATATATATTATTTATGCTTATATGCTAAATTATACTTTATCCTCCTTGGATCATGGAATCCTCAGAACTGTGAACAACAGTTTCACTAATTCTGAAAAAGTAAATAAATAAATAAATACATAATAGTATTTTATTTAAATTGAGAAGTTATTCACTATTTATTACTACTGCCAGAACTTGACACATATAACTTATTAGCTTCTTGTCATCTTAAGAGTTCATTTTCCCTCTAATAAACAATGTAGCATTAATGTTTCAATTTCCTACTCTTATGACAATACCATGTTTAAAGAATAAGTAAAACTGCACTAAGACAAGGTGTTTAAGGAAGTGATGATAAGAACTCCAGATACAAAACCTCAGAGGCCCCTCTAGTATTCTTAGCTCACATCCTCGAGGTTTCAGTTCCAAGTGAATTCTCACAGCTAGTTACAACCAACATGAAAGGAAGCATGAGAGGAGATACCTCTTCTACATTTCGATTGTTGGAGAAATATTAATATATGTTAATATATTTTCACTGCATAAATATTCCAATAAATTCTTACTGTGGCTTGCTAATGCAATAGTGGGTTCAATTAAAAAGCAAATCAATTCTTGGTTATGGCCTCAGGATATATCTTATAACCACTTTCTGACAGAAAACATATAAAGTTGGTTGGTAACAGATCACTGTTTCTACCAATGATACCTAAACAAATACTGTTGTTTAAGTGATAAACTTAGCTGGTTCTCAAAGGACACATGTACAGATAAAATAGCATTAATTCTGCACCCCTTACCCTAGCTTGTGGAATAACATAATTGATTTTAGCATTAGATTGCTATGCGCAAAAATCTGACCATCACTTAGCAACCTGTGTTGGACTTTTTTTACCTGCATGTAATAAAAATATTTTTTAAAAGATGGCATATGAATTGTCAAGACTAAGCAATATATCTATATAAGTTATTATCAAGAACTGGGTGCTGCTATTGGTGGGTGGGTTGGTTCTCCGTCCAGCATTAATAAGAGTGTTCTTCATTTGTGGACTCCTGTTATTTGGAGCTCAGGCAAAGGAATGCTCAAAGAACCAGATCTCAAATAGTAGATTTGATTGAGCGAAGAGTGACATATCTAAACTTTAACTAGTTAATTTCAGATTGTAAGAAATAAGCTCTTTAGAATTTTCCAATCAGTGTTTCCTAAATTTGGATTTTAGACAGATGAAAGTGGAAGCTATTAGAAATTATGATATGAAAAGAAGTATCAATCAGGATTGGCTGAAACATGAGATACAGAGTGCTACGTGTGTAGAAAAGACAGGAATATATCCAACCCAAGAGAATAAAGTGTAAAGGTTGTTTTTTTTTCTTTTTATTTATCTGTTTTCATTTTACTTGAAACTCAGAGAGACACAGAGACAGACAAGAGATCTTCCATTCATTGGTTCACTCCTCAAATGTCCACAAGAGGTGGACGAGGATAATATCAGTAGGCCAGGACTCAGTTCAGAACTCCCACTTAGATAGCAGGGATATAAGCATTTGAGTCATTAACTGTTGCCTACCAAAGTGTGTATCAGCAGCAAGCTGCAGCAGAAGCACAGTAGACAATATTTGAACTCAAATATGGGATGCAGGGGGTACCAACTAGTGATTCATTAATACAACAAATTCCTTTCAAGCGTTCTATTTCTGAGGGAGGAGAAGCAAGAGGTCTACCAGGAGTGTCTTGATTTATCTTGCTAGTTAACAAAATCCAAGCATGGGGTCCAGTGCCATGGCCTAATAGGCACCTATGGTGCCAGCATCCCATATGCACACAGGAGTCCCAGCTGTTCCACTTCTGATCCAGCTCCCAGCTAACGGCCTGGGAAAGCAGCTAAGGATGGCTTAAGTGCTTCGGCTCCTGAACCCACATGAGAGAGCCAGATGGGGCTCCTTAACCCATATGAGAGAGCCAGATGGGGCCCCTAACTCCTGGGTTCAGATTTGCCCAAATCTGGTTATTTTGGCCATTTGGAGAGTGACCAGAAGATAGAAGAGTTGTCTCACCATCTTGTCCTCTAAATTTGCCTAGCAAATGAAAACAAACAAGTCTTTTTTTAAAGTTATTTATTGTTGTGTAACAAATGACTAGTTTATAGCACAACTGGAATTCATATCTCTTTTTATTTGTAAGGTAAATTTTCCAAAGAAGTTTGTACTTTAAGAAACTTGTCAAAGGTCAATGTTTGTAGTTGTAAAGCTGGCATGTAAATACAAGCTGATCACAGTGGTTGAATTTGTCTTCTAAATACACTTTAATAATGTCCTATACATTTATGATTCTTTAAAAATACTTAACATCCATAAACATAGTTTTTAAGATACATAAATACTTTTTTCTGAATGTTTCCAAAGGAATGTTGCTGACAGGAAAGTTGTGAAAAAATTTTAAAGGTATATCAGAAACGCAATATTTCTACTTGAGTTATAGAAATGATTTACAAATCATGCTGAAGTATGTCTGATCGCCTCTTTACCTGTCCGATTGCTCTGTCTCTCTCCAAAGAGGTCAGCATCTTCTCCTTCAGTAAAATGTGGTGCTTCTCGTGCAGCACTCTTATTGTTGGTTCGTAAGAGGCATAATGTAGCTTCAATCTAGGAAAAACAAAAGGCCATCTGCATCATCAGGGATTATGTGTTGAATCAATGATTTTCATGTGTCATATAGACATTGTCTGGCTTTGTAATGAGCATGAATAAAAGCAGGAAGGTCAACACACCAGAAGCAAAAAGCAAAGAAACTGTTACTTAGCACAGAGCCCCAGAGCAACCTGGGAAGGAGCAGGGTAAGCACAGGAAAAGCCAGCAATGCCCCCAGTATGTACCTATTTCCTACTAGCCCCTCTTGGCTGCTTTCAAATATCTACCTAGATGACCACTGCTCTTTTCTGAAATTTACAAAACAAAAACATGTCAGTTTAATCAACCCAGCCACAATTTTTTAATTATTGTTTTATTTTGATAATCTTTACATAGTTGATTAGGGCACAAAGGCTACAGGAAAGTGGGAAAAACCATTGTTTCCACAATTTTTTTTTATATCTGTGGTAAGGGGGCAGATAAAGGGAGAAACCTCACCCAGCCTCACACCCATCCCAGGGTCCCCGTCATGGGGCATGCTCCAAGGGCACTGCTCAAGTGGTTTGATAGTTCAACAGTTTTGAATTGCTGCCAATCTCATCATTCCAAGCATGACGAAATCTCTCCAGAATCCACTGGTTAATGTAGTCCACCTTAGAATCTCTGTTTGTTCAGATATTAACAGCAAACACTTAGCTGAGGTAGAGCTGATCAGTTTGTTCTGTCCTCCATCCTCTGTTGTGGTACCAGGTGTCCTCTGTAAGTTCTGATAAACTTCCATATCCTCCATGTGCACCTGGATATGCTGTCTACTGCTCCATCTAAGCCACTGAGGGAGCTCAGCTCTGACACATACATTCCACAGTAGGAGCATGGAACCTGCAATTCTCCTCATGGTTGGAGTTCTGAGATCAGCAATTCAGTTTGGTGGATCCCTAGAGAAACTTCATCTGAGGTGATCACAGACCTAACACTCATGTGTGCTTGCCAATACAGGGTCCAGTATATTCTGTCACCCCAATCAGCTTATGCATATGCTGGTGGTTGTAATTGCTTGGTCAGTTTTGTTTCCAGCCCTGTCTTCCTCATGAAGCAATGGGTGTTATAGTCCAGCCTGATCCTGCCCACCACATACTCAGCCCTCACACAAACCAGTGGGAGCTTCAGCCTTGTTGGAGTGACCAGCAATAAACCCCACCAGACCCACCCCCTGCCCTGGTTCCTCTGCTTGCCAGTATGTACAGCAGACTGGTCCAGTCTGTCCCATATCCCATTCAGCTCTTATAAAAGATAATGAGCATTGAAGCCTAGTTCAACCCAACCAGCTCCACTATCCAGCCTACACACATGGTGGATGTCACTCTGTCTAGCCATGCCTGCCCCAGTTCTGGTTTTCATGTTCTCCAGTGGGAGTGGTAACCAGCAACAATTTTTAAAAAGGTGAGAAATAAAATAAATTGGATGATTAAATATTCACATCAAAAACTAAGATAACTTGAAAGCAAACTTCAACAATCTATACTTAAAATTAACACACAGAATATTTTAATGCCTCAGAGTAAAAAATTCAATAACACATGATCAAAAATCTTTAATGTATTTTAACTTGAAAATTCTTCAAAGTGTTTTTTTTCTGTTTTTTTGACTGAACTGTAATTTACATGCAGTGTTATATACAGACAGATCTTACATGTTACAGTTCAAAGAGTTAACCACCTATGCAAACCATATGATAATCAAAGTGAAAATATTTATAACATAACGGCATAGGCAGCTAATCCTACACTTGCAAGAGCTAGCATCCCAAGCAGGCACTAATTCTTGTCTCAGCAGATCCACTTCTGATCCAGCTTCCTGCTTATGGTCTGGGAAGGCAGTGCAGGACGATCCAAGTCCTCAGGCCTCTACACTCATGTAAGACACTCAGAAGCTCCAGACTCCTGGCTTCGCATCCAGTTAGCTCCAGCCACTGTGGCCATTTGGGGACAGAACAGAGGACGGAATCTCTCTGACTCTCCTTTGTAAAATCTGCCTTCAAACAAATAATTTTTAATAAAAAGAATATTTCTAACACATACAGAAGATTGTAGAGTTTCACAAATGTGGTACCATAGAATAGGTTCTTCTTTGAAACAGTCTTTCACTTGGCATACTGATCCTTACATATTGCTGACCTTTCCAGTCATTTAACAATGGCCATACACTTTCCAAATGTACCACTAGGTGATTTAATTACTGTAAGAGCATAACAAAGTATCCTTATACAACTAAGATGGCTGCAGCATCACTAGGTAACACAGTCTCGGGGGACTAGTATTACATTTTTAGTCTGTTGTTAACTGAAACTTTATTAGTTCACTAGGCAGTGCACAACTATAATGTATTTATCCAGTATTCTTGCAGATGTTAATCAGCTGTTTTCAATTTTGGTAATAATAGATAATGCTGATGTGAACATTTTTATACAAGTCGTATAAGAGTTTATAGACCTATACTATATATATGTGTGTGTGTATATATATATATATATATATACATAATTTTCTTTGGATAAACATTAAGGGACTAAGTAGACAAGCTGTCAGTTATATTTTCAACATCAATATATGACTCTCCCAATAACTCTATCTCCTCATAATATTTGTTGAAAAGTTACCAACATTTATCAATTTTATTATTAATTTTATCAATTTTATTATATTTTCAAATAATTAACATTTTGATTTGTTCTTCTATTGCTACTTTACTGATTTCAGATACTTTACTTCATTTATTCCCTTTTTGTGTGTGATTGATTCTTTTTAAATCTTTGAATATGAATGATTGTATAATTTATTATAAAAATTCTCTAATATAAACATTCAGTCCTATCAATTTCACTTCAAGCTGCTTTGGATGCATCCCACACATTTTGATACGCTGTACTTTTAAGCATTTAGCTCAAAATACAAGTATTCGCAGTATCTGAAACAAGGTACTGAATTGCCACTTATTTCAGAAATTTCTATTGGCACTTTTATTTGTTCCTAAATTCATTTGCATATGTGGAAAACATTTTCATATGATATTAATTCCTTGAAATTTAAAAAGACTTAAATTGCAGCCCTATAGGCGATCTGGTTTGTCAAGCATTACAGATGCACCTGAAAAGTCTAAAGTAGCGCTCTTCCTAATGTCCTTCTGATGAATTATTCCTTTCATTGGGGTGGAATTGCCCCCTTTTTCCTCTGGCTCTCACGATATCCCTGAAAATGCCATTTTCATGGCAACTTTCCCAAGGCACTATTAACTTTGAAAGGTATCCCCATCTTTTGCTTAAAAAAAAACAAGAAAAAAATCTAACATTTTATCTGTGGAGTAAGCTTCAGCAAAGGTCCCAAAAGTACCAGATGGACCTCCAAGAAATATCACTAATCCCCCTTGTGCATGTTAAGTTGATGTGTGACAGGGGTAAAAGAGGCTACACATTTCAACTGCTGTGACAATCAGTAAGCATAGAGCAGCAAAGCAGGTGCATCACCAAAGACTGAATTCTGTACTACTTGGTGGAGATGGCTGGAATGTAAGGCTAGACACAGAAGTATTTATTGGCCTTACACCAGTTCCTTCAGGCAATGAACTTAGCAACCCTGCAAAAACTCTAGTGAATGAAGTAAATTCATAGACAGGATGGCTTTCAAAAACCTGAAAACAAAAGGCAGCCAACACTGAGCCAAATGGAAATGTCTGAGCCTCACCGGCAGACCATAGAGGAAGGAGTTAAAAGCAGAGCAAATATGAACAGTCGTGACTGCCTCATAGCTTCAGTAAAATGACCTAACACCATTTACCAGAGTGACTGTACAATAAGGATATTTTAAGGAGTTGCCACTGAAATCCAGCAACATTATGACTCTTGTGTCAGAACAAGAACCTGCAAAGGCAGGAAACAAGCAGAGTTCTGCCTAAAGTTTGGCACACAGTTGGTTTATTTGATCTGCAAGTACAGTGGTGGTGAATTTCAGTGCTCCTTAATGAATTAACTGAATTCATACATTGAAAAGTGAAGTGTATTATCAGATTAAGAATGCCATTCCAGTCTCTTCATTAGGAATCAGAATACATCCATAAGAGGCTGATACATGAGAGGCTGATATTTGCCCTTGGTTCTGTTCATTTTACTAGCCTTTATTCTGTGGGACCCATATTTCTTTCTTTTCAGTTTTTTTTCCTCTTCATGGTCCAGGTTTATTATTTTCCATTGTTCTCTTGTCCTGTATATTAATTTGTTCACTTGCACTGTCCAGTCTGCTAATGTCATTAGTTAGATTTTCATCACAAATATTATGTTTATAAATCCTGTATTAAAGCTCAGTATAATTTAACTCCTACGTCCCACTGCAACAGCAAAGTCCTACAATTAGTCATCTTTGTATTTCAATCTAGTAACAGACTGTCTGGCACAGAGAAGATATTCAGCAAATGCTGAAACTGTAATTTTCCCTCAAACTTTCTATAACTGCCAAATTATTAAATGCTAATTAAGGATTCTTCAATAAATATGCTAAGAAGTAAGAGCGACTTACCCTTTGAGGTCATTAATTAATTTGTTTTTTTCCTGGACTATTCGCTTGTGATGTAAACGATGAAAGTCACGTTCTTTCTGAGTTTTCAACAGTTCTTCTCTAGCCTTGCTGGAAAACAAAAAGAATAACAATGTTAAGAATCACTACTGATTCCTTGCTAAAAAAAAAAAATTAGTCCTCGGATCAAATCCAGCCCTGACAAATTTAAATCATGAAAAACAAAGTTTCCACAGAATTCTCACTGAAGGAACGCATCCAGTGTAACTTGGCTGAAGATAATAACGCTGATTAGATTAAGGAATGAAGGAGAAAAACGTGGTTTTAACAATATGGCTGATAAACATCTCATTTAAGTAAATGAGAAGTAAATGGATACTGCTAGAAAATACTTCCAAAGTATAATCTGTTGAGTACATATAATCAAAATACAAATAACACACAATAACTCAAAATAATCACAAGAAAAAGGCTACAGACTTAAACTCTGAATGTTCTAGAATCTTATTGCTCTAAATGATTGACTTCTGCTAATTGGAAAAGAAAGCTTATATATTTTGGGGGGGAGACCAAGAATTGACTTTGATAACTCACATGAGAAAAACATACATCAACAAATCAAGTAGTAGAAATAATTTCCAAGTTAATGAGGTAGCCTTTTACTCTCAGCATTATAAGAAGTCTGCAACATCTTCTGCAAACAAAAGCATTCTTTCTAAGTTCAAATTCTACATGCAAAATTAATGGGCACGTTTCTCCCATCTCTAAAAAGCAACTGAGTTTCCATATAATAACACAAACCATAATTGATAACAATGAGCAGCTCTCTAATCATCTTGGATAACTGAGAAATACCATTATACTGTGACTTTCACATTCAAAAAAAAAAAAAACAGAATGAATTACAGCAGTGCCATGAAATTGGAATCTGAAAGGAAGAAACCTGCTTTTCTGTGTCAAAGATTTCAAAATTCAAATTGCCGTGTAACAATTGCGCACAAGTAGACTGCGGAGAAGTAGTTGGAGTGCTCTCAAAGAAGCCTGTCCGATGGGGGAAGGCTTTCAGGCTCCCGAGGGAGCACATGCCCATCAGAGTGACTTCTTGCTGCAAAATTAGATTACATGTAGGACATAATGAGTTATTTGATCCGTTCTGGTAGATTCTTTTCCTTAACCCCCTCATTCTTTCTTGGGTCACCTGTTGTTCTTCCCTTTATTGTGTTTTTTTCTTGTTTGGCTGTTGGTTTTTATTACATATGAAAAAGCAATGTATAAAAAATCCAACAATACTAAAGGGTCAGCTCCTTCTGTAAAACCTTCGATTTCACTTTATGGAGACAATCTTTCAGGGGAAATAAACTGTTGGTTCAAATATTCAACCTTAAAAATCATCTGAGGAATTTGCCATGATAAAATCAACACTACTGTTTCCAGGTTTAAACCTGTGTGTGGGGGGGGGGGGGGTGTGAAAGAGAGAGAATTCTGTTTTCTAAAGGAAGAAAAAACAAAGATTAAGGGACACAGGGACCAGTGTTGTGGTGTACCAGGTTAAGCTGAGATCCGCAGTATCGGAATCCCTATGAGCACTATCCTGGCTGTTCTACTTCCTGCGAATAAGCCAGGGAAAGCAGCAGAAGACGTCCCAAGTTCTGGGGCCCTTGCACCCACATGGGAAACACAGAAGTTCCAGGCTCCTGGCTTCATCCTGGCCTAGTTTCAGATGTTGCTGATTTTGGGGAAATGAATCAGCAGATGGAAAATAAAGCTCTTGCTCTCATCTAGCTCTCAGCTCGCTCTCTCTTTCTCTTTCTCTCTCTCTCCCTGCTTTTCAAATAAATAATGTTTAAGGAATAATGACATTGAGTTTGAGGGGCCCAGAGCAGTAGCCTAGTGCCTATATCTTCCCCTTGCATGCATCAGAATCCCATACGGACACTGGTTTGTATCCTGGCTGCTCCACTTCCCACCCAGCTCTCTGCTTGTGGCATGGAAGGGCAGCAGAGAGCTGGCCCAAAGCCTTGGGATCTTGTACCCGCATGGAAGACCCAGAACAACCTCCTGGCTCCTGACTTTGGATCAGCTCTGCTCCAGCCATTACAACTACTTGGGAAGTGAACCAGCACGTGGAAGATCTTTTTCTTTGTAAAATTGTCTTTCCAATTAAAAAAAAAAGCACATGAATTTGAAAAGTGATAATGTCCTCATTTTCTGTAACAAAAAAAAAAAAAACAACAAAAACAAAATCCTTTGGATTAACATGAGTTTTGAACTGTGACTGTATAACTACAAATAGTGATACCAACAGGCACTTTTTCTCAGTGAGTACAGCGGCTTCTACATATTAATGGCATGCAAGGATTCAGCAGTGTATTCTGTCTCACCTTTTTCAAGTCTACATCCAGTTTTTCCTCTATGCACACAATTACTTTTCTCTACTTGCTGAGAACTCACTCATGTAACTACTTCAAAAGCCTTGAATTGTTATTTTACTATTCTACTGGTTTCAATTAAAGTCTTTCAAGATTATAGTTCTGTTCAGTTATCAACAAAGAAATAAAAAGCCAGTGACGCCCATATTGCACTGGCTATGGAATCAACACTCTGAAGTTTCTCAGCTATTTCTTAAAAGATATCTCTGAAGTACGTTAGAGCACAGTATTTAATGGGTTTGATAGTGACACTTTTCCATTTAAATTTAAAACTCAACAATGACAACCCAATTTACCAAACTGAGCCATCCTTTTATTTCTATTATCAGACTGATAATTTCTAAAATGATGTAAGATGAAACCGGGACACAAACCAGTGTCTATATGGGATGCTGTCACTGTCAGGTGGAAGAATAGCCCGTTGAGCCACCATGCCTGCCTCCATCAAGGTTTCTACTATATAAAGTCTGTTATTGACAATGCTTTGGCCAATATGTCTCTATCGCAAAAGTAAGGAAAAGTAATTTTCCCTCAAATATTGATACAAATAGTTTATTTTTAAATATTGGTGCAAGAGTTTCATATATTCAGTGTTAACAAAAACAGTACTAGAGTTACAGATTTATATTTTAATAAAATCCATACTTAGAAATTAAACTGTATGCACTTTTAAAATTTTTCATTATGAATTTCAGAAACACAATCTGTCCTTTGAGATCATGTTCAAATCCATCAAGAAAAGTGCATCGTATTTGTGATGACTGTTTTGGCATCAGATTGTTCTGAAATCTCACAATATTTCCCCGTTTCACCTATTCCAAAATATTCGTAATCAAATTAACCAGTTTTTTATATTACACACTGAAAATATAAATTACCTTGTTTAAAATTTAAATGGAAATTTTTGCTTTTAATTAAGATGTAAAAATCCGCAAAGAAGACTTCCTGCCTTAACAACACAGGAACTACAGAATCATCTTTTGGGAATTCATCAGAGTTGAAATAACAAGGCAAACAGATGACATAAAATCCAAACACAAACAAAACACTGTGAATTAAAAATATAAATGCAAACTGCGGCCACAATGAAAGGATGCCAGGAATTATATCTAGAAATACTGAGTAAAGACAAGTGAGGGTTGGCACAGTGTCTGAAGGCTAGGTATAGCAAACAAAAGGTCAGTGTGAATGCACGGGCTCATTCACTCACAATGCCACTAACTACTCAGCACAAAGATGTGGAACAGGTCAGTAGACCAGAAAGAGCTCTCTCATGGTGGCATCATGCAGCAGGAAACAAGAAGAGGCACCTGACACTCTTGTGCCCGTCTCCTAGGCCCCACACACACGACTGCCTGACCCTTGGGCCCCCGCAAAGTTCAAAGCGCAAGGCACAGGAGCTGCAGCTCCCTCCTCCTGAATAAACAATGATGAAATCTGAGCCCAATATTCCCTCTAGCCAAGTAGAGGCATCCTACCTCTACAGTAGACATATGAAACTTGTACTTGAGGTACAAGGCAGAGCTTTGCCACAATAGTGAGAAGGCAAAAAGGCAGCAACGCTGAAGGCTTGAAACTGCTGAGATTCAACAACACAAGGCTTCCCCAAGAGTGAAGATGGATTACAAAAAGAGAGAGACTCTGCCATCTCCAAGACTTCACTAAACAGTAGACAAGGAGAAAGAGTTTAGGGCAGTAAATGGCAAAAGTTACCGAGTTGATATTTTGTTATGGAAACATAAGAACATTACCTGAATTCTAGCTTAACTCTGACACAAACCTATTTTCTATTAGAAACAGGGAGAAAGGTAATCCACAGAAAAGTTATTTTCAGTAAGAAATGAAAAATCAATAAAAACCTTTCCAATGAGAATAATGAATGAGATTTAAACACTGATTTCAAACCCATATACTAAGAGCTCTATAAAATACAAAATACATAATGAAAGGTCTATCAAATATGCAAGGCTGAATAAAGTTAATCTCAAAATGACATTGCTTTAGAACAGTAGAAAAAAACACATGATATATGTCTCAATAAATAATGAACTAACAGGTCCAGCATCTTTATTAGGGTACTTCTAGTATTACAAAATCATGCTCAATACAAAAAAAACTTTTTATAGCAATGTGACCTTAAAAAGTTGCACTATGTCTGTGCATATCAGAATTAGACCTGAAAAATTAGCATCTTAATGAGCTACAAAATTATTCAGTTGAATATTTTAGCAAACCAGTGTATATGTTGCCTTTCAAAGGAAGTATTCGATGCTGTTGCTATGATGTCATCATCATCACATGACTAATATTTAGTATAATAAATAAGATACAGTGAATTCTTTCAACAACTACACTTTTCTTCTTAAATAAAGGCATTCCAATAAATACTTAGTATCCCTAATTGACCAGACTGCATAACCATAGCTAACACTATATAGCCTTTTAAAAATGGATCTAAATTTTTATTAATATCTTTAGCCTACTAAACCTTTCACTTTCAATAACTTGATGAATTATCAGATGTGCTTATGTTGTATTTTTCTTATATGAAATATAAACCTATAAAAAGTTTAAAATATTGAAAAAATAATGCTGTAGTTCCCTAACAAAGACCAAAATTGTGTAGCATTGCATGAACTCACTTTTTAATATACAGTTTGAAACCTATTTGTGCACATCCCGGAAAAGAAAGCGTGGGAATTGATTGGAGTATTAGACCTTAAAGTTTTTCTGACCATTAAATTGGTTTTCAGTGACTTGCTTTCTGTTTGCACAAATGAAGTCTATGTAGTAAAACAATTTAAATTCATTTCATGGTGATGCTTCTCCTATTATGATCTTCCAGCTGCCCAACTGCTTGATAAAAGGAAAATGAAAGTTGTACCAAAGAATAAAGTTTGCAAAATTCATATGATTAATTAATATTTTAAACTATTTAGTATTCCCTTATATTTTAGAGCATCTTTGTGTAAATAATACTTCATTAACACAGAAAAGCAGGGAATCTGTGAGCACAATGGAATAAGAATTACCCACTCCATTTAAATTTTTATACCCTGTAAAGCACAATTCATACATGTTCATATTAGTGAGATGGTACAATCTCTATCCAACTTTCTAATTTTGGGAAACTAGACATCAAAGTCTACAATTCAAGTATGTAATATAATAATACTTCTAGTATTACAAAATCATGCTCAATACAAAAAAAACTTTTTATAGCAATGTGACCTTAAAAAGTTGCACAATGTCTGTGCATATCAGAATTAGGCCTGAAAAATTAGCATTTTAATAGGCTACAAAATGTATTCAGTTGAATATTTTCATTAATTTATGAAATTTTATTTTCAACATGGCTTAATGTGAATTAGTGTGACACAATTTTCTAAGTAGTTTTAAGTACCAGAACCAAGATTTAATAATAAATTTGTCATTTTGTTATTATGACCTTGGCAACATGAAATATACAAATATTTTCCTCTTTCCCTATACCATTAAAGCAATTTTGCCATATATTTTAATCCTATGCACATTTGAACCAAAGCAATTCCTGACAACACTATTTATTATTACCTAGTTTCATCATCTTTAATTTGTTATAAATAAACTCACCTAACCAGAAAAATTCACTTTTGAGTAAATGTTGAATGGACAAATGGATTTCAACCATATTTTGGATCCCGTTCATGCAATTTTAACCAAAAAGCAAAAGTGAAATGCCCATATTCAGAAAAAAAAAACTGCCTTCTGAATTTAACAAGTAATTACCTACCAACGAAATCATGAAATTTTATGAGCCACATTACCATCTTTATTTTCACAGTGTTTGTTTCTGAAACTGATTAAATTAAACAGATCTTCACAAAACCTTGGCATCCTGAACTTCCAGAAGTGAATTTTATCAATGAAGACAGGGCCCTATCTAAAGCACCGAACTTCTCGATATACTATATTAACTTTATCTTCACAGGAGAAAATCTCACAAACCAGTAAAAATTAACAAACATAAAGTGACTGTCGTATAAGTCTTTACCACTTCCAACTTCCTGTATTCTGTGAGGAGTGGCACAAGGAGTGGCCCTGAAGACCAATGCATTTAGACTTGACGCAGTTTAAATGTCCACTTTGGTCCTTTTACATTTGGGTTGAGTTTCCTGCCCTTTAATTCTGTGCTCTTCAGGTTTGAGTTCTGTTCTCCACCAATCCTCTGTAAACTTCTTACCTGTTTTTGACCAATCCTCTGTAAGCTTCTTACCCTGTTTTCCACCAATCCACTTTAGGCATCGTACATGACGGCCCTGTCCACCAATCTCTTGCGGCCCTGTGTCCTTGGTTTCGGCCTGCCCCCTCAACCGCCAATCCCCCGCGGCCCCATACTCCCAGTACCTGCCCCTCTGCTATAAAAACATGGTCCTCTTTTCCTTGCTCTCTCCACTCCTGCTTCTCTGCGCAACCATCTCTGAGCAAAAAAAAAAAAAAAAAAAAAACCTGCTGGGTGACTTGCTACATCCGGGGCTTGCAATTACGGAGATATCTCAGCTCACAGAGTTCTTATCAGTTTTCAAGTAATTTGCACTCTTTTCAACTAGAAATTAAATACAATTCAGACCTCCAGAATTAAATTTCTGGTACATTACACATATAAACCCTGTTCAACTCTTTACATTTACTCAGTCTCAAATAAACAACAACAACAGCAACAAAACTCATTTGGAAAATAACATACTCAGCTGCTTGTTTGTAGTGTTTCACGTCTTTCCTTAAATTTTTGTTTTCATTTTCTAAAAGCATAACTTGGCTGTAGACATCTGGAACATTCGCAGAAGCTCTAAGTTCAGTTATTCCTTTCTGTATTAACTCATACCTAGAAAAAAAGAAAAGACCAAAGATTTGTATCATTTCCTTCTATCAACTAGCTGAATTAATCTACAATTCAAAAAGTTAAGACTCAGGAAATTTTACAGTACACAGTTTCTATATTACATTTATAAATGTTAGTGTAATCATTCTTCAGAAAATGTATGTAAAATATCAATAAAATGCTAGGCACAAACATTAACAGCATTACTATGTATAAAATATAAGGGACATCGGTGTTATAAGTAGTTTCCCAGACACTGGTAACATTGACAAAACTAAATTCCCATCTCATCAATTTTCCATCCTAGTGACGATGGTGATCATTTCAGAGAAGTAAAATAAAAGACAAGAAAATCAAAGTAAAGTGAGACTATTGAGGATGTAGGTCATGATTGACAAGGATGCCTGACAAAGTGGTACTATAGGCGACAGTTGGAAGGAATGAAGGGCTGTGCTGTGTAGATGTTCAGAAGAGGAATGATCAAAACTGTCAGAAGTGCAAATGCAAAGGCTGTGAGACAAGGAAGTGATTGGCATCTACGATAAAGAATAGAAAATCAGATGTCAGAGGTGGAGCCCAGCTAAGGCAGCAAAGAAGAGAGAGGAAGGAGATGCAACAGAAAGAGAGCAGGGAGACAGAACAAGAACGAAGCCAGGAAAGAGTTCAAAACTAGTGACACTGATCATTTTATGCTGTACAAGGGTTAATCTGTTTGAAGAGAAAGATTCTAGAGAAACAGGCCTAGAATCAGAGAAACTGAGCAGCAGCTGCAATGAGTCAAGGGGAGGCAGAAGGATGGCTAGTACTAACTTGGTAGCAGTGTAACTCTAACGGGGAAACCCTTTATATATGCTACTAGCACTGAACTAATAGGATTGTCTAGTAGAGCAGCTCTTAGCTGTTATCACAAGTGGAGTCAGCGATGAGCCAAAGTTTTTGACTGAGCAATGGACAACCAAGTATGAATGAACACAACCAGATTTGGGTAGTTGGAAGGACCAAGTTGTTTTCATTTAGGTTAATGAAGTATGTCTACCAGACAAGCAAGTGAAAATGAATGTTTAGGTGTACATGTTCAGGGTTCAGGAAAATGGCAATGTAAACAAATTAAATTTGGGGATCAGCAGCATACAGATAGCACTGAAATCAGCAGAAACTAAGGTAGTCAGTGAATGTAATGAGATAAATGAGGAAATTCTAGGACTGAGTCATAAAATGCTACACTGTTTCAAGGCTTGTGTAAAGAAACACTACTAAAACTACACAGAGAAGCAGTAGGATAATAAGAAGGCAAAGGCAATGGGCTAAGCAGAGGGAGTGCATTCAAAGAAGGTGGAAACATGCTACGGTGACAGATGTTACTGGGAATGTGAAAAAGAGTTCTGAGATTCCATCAATGAATTTTGTAATTGTGAAAGTTACCGGAAAAAAAAAAAGTTTCTGACCATAAAATGATGTTCAACAACTTGTTGACTTAAAGGCAGAAAAAAAATCACTAGACAAATTGTATCTGTAAGGAAAATAAGTGATTTAAGAGTTTTCTTTAAATATTGTGTAAGGAAAACATTCTCTGGTAAAAGAACAAAAAATACACAGCAAATATTTACATCATATCGACCTTAAGCATTAAAAAATCAGTCTTTATTCACATGAAAATTCCTGCCATCCACATAAGGTTAAAAGATAACTTTAAACTTGGGCAAGATGCTAAATAATTGTACATATTAATCTATAATTACCAATTAAACTAATGTTCTTAATAGTTACGATACAGCTCTTAACTACTTTGAATAATAGTGATATGACGGTACCTCAAAAGGAATTAAAAGATCATTCTGATCAAAAGATTCTGCAATTTTTGCATACTTTTTGAATATCCCTGATATATTTATATATATCAATATATGCAATATACATAAATACATATTTCAAAGAACAAGTGGATAGAGCTTTCATATCAAGAGTTTAATAACCATTGTCACAAATGACTAATAGCATGATAGAATTTCAGTAAATATATAAATAGTGTCAGAAGAATCAGCATTATTCTTGTGATAAACTGCCAAACTATAGAATATAAAAGAGACAATGTCATCCAGATACTGACAGGCAGCAAATGAAAATTTTCTCTCCATGTATTGAGAAGGAGTGCTAGGGAAGCATTTTATAAAGATAAAAATCTCTTAATCATTGCCCAAATGGGAAACACTGGAACAGCAGTAGTGTTATGACTTTAGCACTGCAGAAGCAAAGTCCTTCAAAGGAAAGGCGCAGTACCGCTGAAGGATTCAGTTCCCACCATTTCTGAAATCTGCACCAAAAAAAATGGGCATTCGTTTGGATTCTAAATCAATGGGTATTTCTTCCATTCTTTTCGTCTCCAAACACATAAGACGTAAGCTTTGTTAATACTATCTTTTCACGTTTCCTTTGTGTAATAATTCCTCACTCTGGTGAGGAAATTGTTCCTTTATATCAGTTCCTTTATTTCAGATGTGACTTGCTGCCACTTCCTGAGCCAGACTCGCCAACTTTCGTAGGCCTAGCTCCTTTTGCATAAAATGGAGATATGACAGTAGTCACCTGCTATATAGCTGTTGAAGGAAGTGAAATAACACAACATACTAAACCAATAAAAATGATACAGAGCAAATGCCTGATAAGAAAAAGGCTTAATCGTAAAATAGTTTCAAAATCTTGAACTAGGGCAAACATTACATCAAGTATATTTTAAGCTAAATATTGAACTACAAGACAATCTTGGTATTACAGTGTAAAATGTATGGAGATAAATATACACATGAAATTTGCATGTTTCAAATGTAGTAAAAGTTAACATGATAAAAGAGCCATCATAGTACTGATGGAGAGGGAAAATTTTTATATGATAGGCACATAATCAGAAGCCAATGCCTTATTAATGGAAGAAATAACAATAGGCTTAAATGATAAAATAACAAATAGTTGTTCAGGATTATTCATTGATAGTTATACATAAAATATCATATATTTCCAACATGGGTTTTTCAAAGAGTAATTTTAATTTTAAACTCTGCTTTTAATTCCAAACATCCCCAGACAGCTGTAACCAGACTGCCCATATCTGAGCAATTATGCATCACGACAAGTCATACTGGCTACAAGCTGCAGTATTTCTTTCTCTGCAAATTAAAGCAATATACTTCTAATTTATAGTCTATAAATAAGAAAAATTAAATTAGTAATTAAACTTTACAAATAATTGTGCCACTATATTTGATAGCACATATATTACTCCCTTTTCTTTATTGAAATAGTAGGAATAGAGGACAAACTACAGACAGCCAAGGACAGAAAAACAAATTAAGAAGGGGGGAGGGAGACTTATTTTCAAAACTACTGTCTGGAAAAGGGAAAACAAGAAGAAAGGGCAATGGGTAACAGTGTCAGCTGAGAGTCAGTCAGGCCTGACTCTGTGAACAGGCAAAGGGGCAGTCCATGCAGTCCACTGCAGAGCAGATGGGGGATAACTGCTCAGAAAAGCATTCTTATTTCATACTTTGCCCACTTTTCCAGTTTTTTATTTTTGCCCCAAATTACCACTATCCAAAAAATACTATTTTCACAATAAGCATAAAAATAGCACTTACCAAGCCAAGAATTAAAAAGAATTGTGCTGTACAAATTACCATGCATTTGCTCTGACCTCAGCAATGTACTATATAAATAAGTCCATCTAAAATTTTTTTAATAAATAAATACAAGTTTTGCCAATTTGTGGTACATAGGCCAGAAAATGAGTACTTTAGTATTTGAAAAAAATAATACGGTACAGCTGTGGAGGACACAGTTTGTGCTGCCACGAGCTTTGCTTTTCACTGGAGAGCATCACTGACAATGTCTACAGAGAGTTTCTGTCCTGTGCCGGCAGAGCTTTCCTTACAACCAGTGGCAGATAAGATTTAGTCTCAGGCTCGTGGTGTTCTGATCCTGGATCTAAACGACTTACCACTTTGTTTGCAAACTCAAAGAACCTATATAAGCATTTACCGCTGGTTTTTGTGCACCTGCTTTTATAAACTAATAACAGAACAACCATATAATGATTGTCATATGCAAGATTAAGGGAATTCACAGCAATGATATGTGCTGGTTTGCTTTTATAATAATGATTCTTATTGGTAAATTCACAAATGTTATTGTTCCTTTCATTTGACAAATATTTCTTGAGCACTGATGTGCCAAGAACTATTCAGTGGATTGAAGGTGCCAAGATAAAAAAAACAGTTTTAGAAGAAATGACACATGCTATGGAACCAGCCAAAGATGCACATTTGGATGCGTATCTTGATAGCTGATTCCTTATATAAGGATACTTCAAGTAGTTCATGGGAAGTGAATTAAATATCAAATTTATTTTGGTCCCAATTTTTTGAAACACATGTATTTTTTCCTAATAATATGCATTTTCCAAAGGCTTTTCAAAGACTCCTTGTATGTGTGTGTATCATAAATAAATAAATAAATAAATAAATAAATAAATAAATAACGCATGTTATAAAACTTGTAAGGATTAAACGAAAGATTAAAATCTTGGCCAAAAAATAGTATTATGAAATTTCGCCACATCATTTTAGATTGTTAATCTTTAAGGATAATGTAGTAATTAGCCAATTGTCAAGTGTATACTTTATCTACATTTTTAAAGGAATTGTTTCAAACTTGACTGACAACACATAATAAGCATTCATGTCATACACACATTTTCAGAAAATCAAAAAGTAACTTACTTACATTAATCTCTCATTTCATTTGGACTATAATCATCTACTTTTTTCACAAAATACATTTTCTAATGTAGCTTCTAATATCTAATTACATAGTGAGAGTATTTTATAAAAATCATTTTTAAATCATCCACACTATTTCTAGATTTAAGAAAAGCCCATCATTTATGCACCACATAACTTGACCTTTTTCTTAGGATAGATAAAAAATTATTTACGCTAAATTTATTAACAGCAAATACACAATTTAAAATAATGAAAATTCACTATTTTTATATGTACATTCTCAGAATTTAAATAATCACAATTATATTGTGGCTAAATTAGTAGATATTGAATATTACTCCATATTTAAGTTTTAGTTTAAAAATAAACCTTATATATATTAATCTCTATTTGTATAATATGCAATGGCTATTAAAGTTAAACTTAAACTTGCATATCATTTAAAGGAAATATTTATTTAAAGAAAGTTATAAAGCTAAACATGCCTGGTGATACTATTGTTAAAGAAATACTTAAGACAGCATTCCTGCTGCCATATAATCCTTAGTTACTAAAACTTTCCATTATAACAAGAAAATCTGATGTAAAAATTATATTTGAAAATATATTTCCACTTAAAATGAAAAACTATTTCTAAAAAAGATTCAACAGCTTTATGAATAAAAATAAGCAATTACACTCTAATTGAAAAAGCAGAGTATTAGTAAAGCATCTAAATTTAAAAACAATATTCTTAGTTGTACAAAATATAAGGAGAGTATATCATAAATTAGACTTGTGCTAGATAACTCCAGCAAATATTCAATTTTCTTCACTTTTGAAAATTACCTAAATTTAAATATTTAGGAAATATAGTTAGTGAAAATCTTCTTTGAGTATCCAGATTGTGTGCATAACTGTATGAGTAGGTTGTGGTTTCTAGGAGGAGAAAGGTTTCTGTTCATTTTGCCCAAGATTATTCATTTCAAAGTCTTTTATGACAGTTCAAAGAACACATGCTAAATGCAGTTAGCATTTCAAAAATATTATTTATCAACATGGACATTTACCATTCGGACTGAAAGCAATCCAGAGTTCTTGTCATTCCCATTTTGATCAGGAAATTACAGAGAAAGTCTTCTATTACTTCATGTGCTGCCTCCCGCGAAGGAAGAACTGTCTTCTGTTCCTGAAATTTAAATTTGCAACTATTTATTTTTTAAATTCCAAAATACTAATTAATAGCCCAAAGAAACTATTCATGCATTCATGTTTTTCAACAAATTTTTAATGGTATGTGCCAGAAACTATTTTAATTGCTAGGGAGAAGATATTAATTTAAAAAAAAGGTCTTTGTCCTCTGCAATGTCAAGTGATGGAAACAGAATGAGTAGCTAAGCAAAAACTATGCAGGATAGCAGTGCATGGTGGGAAAACCAGACTGCAGGAAGGGAAAGCAGCTATTTGGTACTTATATGGATGGGATGTAGGTGCAGGTGTGAGTGTGTGTGTGTGTGTGTGTGTGTGTGTGTGTGTGTGTGTGTGTGTGTGAGCTGAGTTAGCTGCAAGATAGGTACAGTGGTAGAGGAAAATTTTCTTGATAAAGGAGATTGGAGTCATAAGTCAAACAGATACAATCTTGAAAGTTGAAATGCTGAAAACCTAAAATCCTTGAATTCTAAAAATCCAACAAAGATCAACATCCATAAATATAATTCTAGAACTATACAATCACACACACACACAAAAAAAAAACTTTTTAGAGGACATTTATTTTATTTACTTACATTATAATTCACTTAACACAGTAAAATAGGCAACAATAATACACATATTTCTGTAAGGATAAATGTTCAGGTATACCGACAATAGCTGTAGACTACCATAATCATTAAGAGATCAAAATATGATCTCCACATGCTTTCATACACAGAGTTTAGGCATGTGCCATCCATGCATACAGTATACGCCCTGTAGACAGCAATTATGTGCACACAGCATCATGTCAGGTTGTTGAACTCCTGTGACGGACAACCTAAGTCTAAAGACTTAAAGACAAGATAGATCAAAAACCAAGAAGGATCTTAATCACAGGAAGAACGTTATCTTATACAAACACAGATATACAAAAATTACAACTCTACACATACTGAGGAAGTTTCAACATTTTTACATATTTTCACAGTTGTTCGCAAAGACAGTGTTGTGATGTGCTTCCCCGGAGTCATATTTGCAAAAATAAATACTGTGAATCAGAAAACTCTAAAATTTGTATCTTGAGCATTACAACTCAATCAAACATGAAACACATACTGCAGTAAATTTTAAGACATAATTCTCACAATCTAAAACACTGGCATAAAAGAACAAATGAGAGAAGTTGACACACGAAAAGTATGTTGTCAACACAGATGACAAGCATCTGCAGCGAGGTGATGCAGAAAAGCAGCCAAACTCCAACACATTCGCTGTATGTGGATGTGTTGCATCGTTATGAATAGTGTTGGCTCTGATCCTTCTAGTGATCACTCTCAGAGAGAAGCTCACGTTCATTTTCTACGCACAGCTGCTACTTTGATTTTCTTCTACGACTCCACATATATCAACATGAGCATGCCCTGTTGATTTTTTCCTTTAATTTTTCACGCCTCTGTCTTTTGGAACACATGGAAATCCATTCCACATGCATTCATACACAGTCAACGAATTTAGTGGAAACAATATTTGACAAACAACAGCAACACCATTGCTTGTATGCTCATCCTACTTCACACATAATTATTTCCAAAGCAGACAGTAACTCCAATGGCTTTTTCAGGCCAATGGAGCATTGGTACATTAAAACCTCCTGGAATTTCATAGCTATAGTCAATCATTACAGGTAAATGATATTTTTAAACTAAGATTTTTCCCAATGCTTAGCTCAAGGCCTATACACGCATCTGGATTTCTGGCCAAGGAAGTCATTGGTTTGAAATGAAAAAAGTTACACTGGAGGTTAGGGTTTCAACATGTGAATTTAGAGAAAATACTATTTAGTCCAGAGCAATCAGCAAGCAAGTGGGGACTTGGCTCATATAGTAATTCCTTCCAACAATCTGAATGGAACCTCAAAGTGGATTCTCCCTCAGAGGCTCAGACTACAACTCAATATGACTAAAGCAATAAATGGAATAAATAGACTTTATTGAAATTTTACCTAATTTCAATCTTTTATTATGGTTTAGGTATATAATTGAAATTCATTTTCTTCCACAAAGATCAAATCTCCAAATTAGTGTTTATAATGTGTTCTGCTTTTTCTATTAATTATATTTATGAACAAGCAGATAAATTCTTGAATTTCTGAATGCACCAGGGGGATGAATTGCATATGGCTGACAGGAAAAAAAAGTGGGAGTAGATTTTTGTGAAAGTGCAACTTATTATGTAAGTTGCTAGCCTTTCTTTGTCAGTTTTGGTAGAACCCAAATCCTTAATCAAGAACAGTTCATTATTTAATGATGTGTGACAGCACTAAATCCATAAATAACACTAGAAAAAGTCACTACATTGGTTCAATTCTTTTTCTTCTCTAGGAAAAGCCATTTTCTGAAGTTAAACAAGGCACCACATATGTTGGCACAACAGTAGTCAAACTGAATAATCAGGCAACTCTTGTAACAAAATAGGACTGAAATTTTACTAATTCCTTCCTCAGGATGTGGCTTTCTGTTTGTCCCTTTTTAAAAAAACATTTACACATTTCCAAGGTAGAGTCACAGAGGGAGAAGAGCAGACACAAAGCAAGAGAGGTCTTTAATCTAGCAGCTCATTCCGCAGCTACACACAAGCACTGGGATTGGGACAAGCTGAAGCCAAGCTTTTGGAACTTTGTCTGACTCCCACATGGAAACAGGGGTCATCCTTTGCTCTATTCCCAGGCAATTAGCAGGGAGCAGGATTTCAAGTGGAGTAGCCAGGATACAAAACTGGTGCCTTTAGGGATGTCAGCACTGTAAGTGGCACCTTAACCTTCATTACAGCACTGGCCCCTCTTTATTCTTAACATGGCCTTTTTGAACAGAAATTGCAGTTGCAAGGATTTCAACATTCAAACCTGCAAATGGTTTAGGAATTTAATATCTTTACAGACTCTGAACATTCAAATTTTAATCTTCAAAATTATAGCATGGGGTTGTATGTGGGGATTCTGGCCAGTACAGGAAAAATGCTACCTTAACATAAATGAAGAAGTGGAGCCCTCTGTTCCATATAAAATGTGAGCAAGCACAAATGCCCTGAGGCAACAATGTGACTGGCCTGTCCTTCAGACATGAGGCCAGACTGTCCCTTCATACAGTAAATTAGTGCCTTGATTTTTGGAAATAATGGATGTAAATATGTCAACTGGACCAGCGGCAAGGTAATTATGCTTATAAATAAACCTACTACAACAACAGCCAGTCTGCTTACACATTGTGTCTGCATCTCACTAGCCGCCGCAGGCATCTATAGTGTCCAAAGACTGAAATATTTATGGTTTTAACAGAAGAAAGTTGCAGATCTCTAAACTAGACCAACAAAACTATTTAAGCATTTGACGTTGGCTTTAAGAGAGCCGTAAAAACTGCCACATCTGGTAAGTAGTAGGCAAGGGATATCAAAGAATAGATAGGCTCTTACAAACATAAAAACAGCATGGTCCCTCAAATGTATTCAGTTTCTCCTCATTTGCAGTGAGTCACTAATCTACCTCCTGAGCATTCAAATAAGCATTTCCATTTGGTAGTAGACCTTCCTGAGCACTCCTAGCTGGGTATAGCTATATGCCAGGGGACAAAGGACGCATAGAATGTTTCCATGGAAAGGCACTGAGGAAGACCTCTCAGTTTTGCTCCAAAGAGTCCATCTTCTCAATTTTGACTGGGTATTTGGAATAGAATTAGTGGGTTTCTAGAGTTAGGCACTTTAAAAAAACACAGAAAAATTGGCATAGGGAATAATAGTAGAAGAAATCTATTTTATTTTGCACAGAGGAAGTCAAATTTACAAGCAAATGTCACAATTCTCTTCATTTTTTTTTCAAAAGGAAAAGGTTTAATTATTGAAAAAAGCATCCTCTTTACCTACTAATAGTACAAAAATATAAAGAGCTTTAAAAATATTTTTGCTAATATATTATTTTCAATTTTTAAGTTTTCAATTTTGTGCATGTTGTCAGTTTTACACCCTTTTAATTGGTTATAATCTAAACGCATCTCCCATCATATTCCTTAATAAGTTCATAAGCCTTCCAAAGTCTTATTAATATATTAAGCATTCCATACTGGATATTGAATAATTTCAAAAGAAACAGGAAACACAAATACTTTAAAACCCAGACTGCAGAATTTGTATATTGTGCAAAATCTCAAACATGAGCACTGAAAATACTTGGTTGAATCTCAATTGAGATAAATCAGGCAGTAATCTGAGAGAACCTATGACTGTGACAAGAGTGACCTTAATAACAAAATAGTGACTGCAAGAGCTTGCAGTAAGTGAAGACTTGATGTAAAAATGAGAGAAACGAAAAAGAAATTATATCGATGCAGCATTTACCAAGTTAAGTGTTTGCATTTTAAATGACATTCAAAATTCATATTGAAAGTACTATTCCCAAACTATAGGCTACAAGTGTGTTGTTCACAATTCTTACCAAAATTTGAGTATCAGTAGCTTGTTCTTGGACCACCTGAATAGCTTTTGCAAGATCTTCTTCACTTTCTGGAATACTAAAATTGTTATCTGGTATCTAAAGCACAGAAAAAGGAAAAGGAGAGGTGAGCATAAATATAAGAAACCATTCAGAAATCGCCCTTTTATTATGAAAGGACACATTCTGAAACCTGAAACATTCTTTGGGGACTTAAACCAGTGGGTAGTAGCTGACCCTATGCAATTATATAATGCTTTTCCTACACATACATTTTTATTTATAAATTACACATAAGAAGGTGTTAATAAAGGCTATAGGTAAAATACCCCGAAAGTATATCACAATGTAATTCTTTAAAACTTATGAACTGTGCATTTCTCAAGTTTTCCATTTAATATTTTCAGACCGCACTTTACCATATATGATGGAAACAACAGGAAATTTGCACATCGGCTGAGTTCTGAATCTTACTTCAGAAACAATTTTTCTTCACAAAGCAAAGGAAAAGAAATACACTTTATAAAAGATATGATACTATCATAAAGACTATGAGAAACGAGTGAGGAAAAACAGACAACTTTGAGATTTGCGTGTAAAAACCATTCAATCCCACGTCTAAGATCATGCATAACTACTTTTACTTATAATGACAAGTGTCACCTGACAACTCTGCTGAAAGGTTTGAGGCTGTCTGAATACCACCCTGCCTCTCAATCTCAGATTTCCTCCACCATTACTTTTTAATAACTATGAGCAATGCAACCTAGTTTATTAAAAACAAAATTCAGTCAGAGCTAAAATCTTCAAAAATGTAATGGTTGTTAACTATGAAATTAATGATAGCTAACACCACATATTTTTAATTGTCATTTTAAGTCATTTACATTTATCAACTCATCCAATAACTTTATGTGGGACATATAATTGCCATTTTACAAATAATGGTAAAAAGTCTCTCCTTTGCGTCCTCTCTGGCCCACCGAAGCCAAAAAGGACCAGACTGGCTTACACAGTTTCTATCACAGTTTCTGCCACACGAAGGAGCTTATGCTCCAAGTCTCAGAAGCAAAGCTGAATCTCATGGGAACAGTAAGCTGTAGGAGAGCTTTGGAATGGGAACAATAGATCAGAAGGAAGCCTGAGCCCTGAGCTGCATCCCAGAGGACAACACCTGGGGTGCCCTGTCCAGGGCAGCTCTGGGGACAGGAAATGCCTCCTGGACAGAGACGATGAGTCCATTCATGACACGCATCCACTAGCAGATGATAAGGAGCACAAAAAAGGGGAAAACTAAAGCCACCAAATGTGTTATGCAATCTCAGTGTCTGAATAGAATTCACACATCTTAACCAGCTGATGTTGGCTGAATTTAGTGCAAAAATCACTATATCTAAAGGAAAAATAATCACTGCGTTGTTGCAAAAAAATAAAAAGAATAGCTCATGAAATGACTATATTTAAATTGCAAAGTAAATTCCTAAAATCAGCACATTACCTCTTCATATTCATACTCATCTTCAGATGCTTCAGTTATGGTGACCTCTGCATTTCTTGTCAAGATTGAATATCCAAAATATGAAATAAAATTACTATATCAAATATTCATTTGACCTTAAAATATAGTACTCAATTATACTATGAGGAAGTTCAAATTTACATTTAACTTACTTCAAAAATTTTTCTTACAATCTACAAACCTAAACATATAACATTTAAATTAGCATTATTGCTTTGTGTAACCCAAAACCATGAAAAGTTACAGTTTTATATGTCTGTCAAATGATTTACAACTTCATTTTAATGGGTCTTACAAACATGAGGGTACTTCAAAATACTCAAAGACTCTGTATTTTAAAATATATTTATCTTCATGCAAAAAAGTTGCAACTCATGCAGTTTTTCTATATTTCTTATTTTCCACAAACTCTTTGAAGGTTTCCCCACACACATTCTATCACAGAGTAATTTAAGTTTGAAAAAATTAGTGAAAAAAATTATTTTCTTTCTTTCCCATTTATCTTGAATTATACTAGGTTTTCCATAGCTTCTGAGTCAACTATTCACAATCAACATTTTTTATTCTGAATGAGTGAAGCAGAAAGTACATCTATATCAAAACAGAGCCGAAGAACATATTTTATAGTTTTTTGCAATAAAATTCATGTAAATCTCTACTTTTATCTTTATATTGCAACTTAAATTAAATTTTCTTTACAGGGAAGGTGATCCAACACATAGCATACTCTAAGCAAAATAAATCAGGAACATGAAGGCAAATATTACATAACTTACATGAAGATAAATAGTACATAACTTCAGTAATTCTGGAATCTGAAGAAAATGTCCAATATGCAGCAATAGGCAGAAGATTTGGTTACCAGGAATCACGACATGGGGGGGGCGGGGTGGGGAATGGCAAAATGGTCAAATGGTCAAATGGTATGGTATAAATTTTCAATTACTATGAAATGAATAAGTTCTGGGGACCAAATGTGTACCATAGTGACTACACTTAAAAATAATGCATCATATGATTGAATTAGATAGATAGATACTGATATAGAAGACAGTTTTTTTTTCTAATCTGAAAGGCAGAAAAAGAAAGATCTCCCATTTGTCACTTTACTCCCCAAATGCCTACAACAGCTAAGTCTAGACCAGGCTGTAGCTTGCAACCTGAAATATATCCAATTCTCCCACCTGCATGGCAGGAACCTCCTACCCGGAAATCATCTTCCACTTCCCAGCCTGCGCTTGAGAAGGAAGCTGGAAACAGAAGTGGAGTCCAGGACTCCAAAGCAGGCCATCTGATGTGGCACATAGGTGTCTGCAGCATTGTCATAGCTGCTGTGCCAAATGTCCACCCAAGAATATTGGAAATTTGCAAATGCAACAAAGAATTCTTACTACAAAAACATAAATTAGAAAAACAACTTCATGAAGTAGACACATTAAATAAACTATATTTTGACAATCACCTCATGATACATCTCAAAATGTCAGTTTGTACATCTTAAATGTATGCATTTTGTCAACTGCATTGTACTAATGTTAAGAAACATAAATAATAACATAATAAGCACTTATTATCTCATAGTTGCTGTGGATCAAGAATTTAGTAGTGGCTTAGGAGGATTTCTTTAAGATGTTTTATTATTATCAGTTATTAGAAAGATTTACAGAGAGAGGAGAAACAAAGATCTTCCATCTGCTGGTTACCCCCAGATGAGGGCAAGGGTCAGAGCTGAGACAATCTGAAGGCAAAGCAAGAAGCCAGACGCTTCATCTATGCATTCCATGTGGACGCAGGGTCCCAAAGACTTGGACCATCTGTCACTGCTTTCCCAGGCTATAGGCAGTGATGGGAAACCGAGCAGCTAGGACTGACACCAACACCCATTCGGATGCTGGCTCTTCAATGTGCAGGATTAGGCTATTGAGCCACAGCACTAGCCCCAAAAGGAGGATACTTTTGCCTTTTTTTCTGCCCAAATATTATTATTTACAATACAGTTTTGTAGGAATAAGGGCTTGTCTCCTCCCCTTCCTTTCCTTCCTTTCCCTTCTCCCCTCCCAACCATTTACAGAAGGAGGATTTCTGACTGGGTCTCTCATGAAATTACAGTCAACACAACAGCCGAGCTGCAGCCATTCAGGGGCTGACACAAGGCAGGTGACTCACAGACACTGGGCTGGTTGCTGGATGGAGGCCTCAGTTGCACCTCACTTGGGTCTTCCCTATGCTGCTGAAGCATCCTCAAGACACCAAAGCCAGGAGGTTGAGGAGAGGTAGAAGCCACAATGTCTTTGGTGATCAGGTTTCAGATATTATAATAATATCATATCAGTTAATAGGCCAACCCTATTCACTACAAGAAGACTACACAAGAGTGTGAATACTAGGAAGTAGGCACCATTGGACATTATTTGAGAAGCTACCACACTACTCTGTAGTGTGTCAAGAGTATTGAAAAGGAATTAATATAGGAAAAGCATTTAGGATTATGCTCTGGTTACAGGAAATGATATGAAGAATTTATGATTATTTTCCTCACTATGGAAAAGGAATGAATATTAATGGAGTAATGCCATACTTCTCACAGGCCCTAGTTATCCCTATGTTAAGATGAGTGGATAAATAAAAAGCATTCTAAATTTCCCTTAAATTCTAGACTTACATTTTTCAAATATACCTAGTAAGACTTCCAAATACTCAACTAGCCGAGGTCAGCCTCTTTTCTGGGGAAATGCGTTCCCCCTCCTAAGATATCAGTGTGGTTTTTGTTTTTTTTTTTTTTGGTAAGCAGTCACTTTTCTGAAAATCATCAGAAAAGCAATGCCACCCTTCATCATATATATTTAACAATGAATTTCAAAAGAAAGTAAATATTCAAAAGCCTTTGGGACAGACTGTAAAACTGTAACTAAGCCAACAACTGGCAAAATTATACAAGGAAAGGTGTTATAGCATAAGTTGTTAAACATGGCAACACATAGAGGAACAAAGTGATTTGTTCTCAAAGCATTGGAAATGTCAAACAACACTTGCATGTTTCTTTCCAGAAAAATCTCCCAGGCAACAGCTTTTAATAGTGAATATATTGTTTCCCTAAACAAAAAAAAAAAGATTGAGGAAAAATAAATTCTTTTTATGAAGCCTATTATTTCATATGAACCATAACATATTTATTTTCATAGAAACCTTGTAATGTTGAATGTTAGTGATACAGCCATCTCTAAATTGAAGTATCTGAATCATGGTAATTAAGAGGTTGGCACAAGATCATGCAGCTACAAGGGACAAAAAACAAGTTTTTGAATACAGATGCCATAAATTCTCTTCTATACCATACCATCACTAGAGTGACACAATATTAACATGCTATGTCATTTTTACCAAATTCCTAATTATATATTCATCTATTTGTTTTCAAACTTCCTAAGTGTCAAGCTACTAATAGCTAAAAACAAATCACTTAAACGGCTTATTATAGAGACCTCACAGGAGGCAGAATTATAACATAACTGCATACCAACACACTAAAATTCTTGTACGCAAAGATAAGGTACAATCAGATAAAAGGTCAGGTAAAGCACCAAGAACAGAAAGTTATTCTTTTCAATTGCTACTTTTTAACTATCCATAATATAATCTGAACATAAAATTTTCCCAGAAGTAACTCATTTTAAGTGTAATATTGCAGTGTTGATGGAGAAACTAAAGCTTCCCGTGTTAAAACAGCAAACATCCCATGACTTCTCTGAATCTTCCAGTGAGGTACATGATGGAATAAAAGAAGTTAAACATCAGCTCACGCCATCTCACTCTTAAATCTGATCAAAGCCAAACGTCTGATGTTCCCTGGAGACCTCATGTATTCTGATTGCTTTGTCCAATCATACTCAGTCAAGAAAATAATGAAAACCTACCTATGAAAACCTAGAAGTTAATGCCATCACAGCTTTTAAAAAGGCTTGTGTGTCCTACAGAACCACTTCTTCATATGTGTAGGAATATTTAAATGGCTGGAGCCAGGGAGCAAACTGGATTCCTTATGATTTTGAAGTAATAGAATAATAGGGCTTTCTTCTCAATATTTACTGTGCAAAATGTGGAGAAGTGATAAGGCTAAGGAAAAATTGTGATCCTCAGATGATCGGGTCAGCACCTCCCTGGGGGGAGGGACAACTGACTTATGATATGTTGGTTGGAGAGGGACAGTGGGTTACTACAGAGCAGCAGATATAGCTACCTCAAGCTGCATTCACTCACATACGGGATGCAGCACTGTGGGCATGGGAGAAAATTGAAACTGGGTCTGAATTTGCAGGCAGTTATACAAAAGTTATCCAAGGAGCCAGGGAATCTTATGCTGACTTTACAGGACTTTTGACAGACTCCATAGAAAAACAAGTTAGGGGAGACAGCACTAGGAAATTATTATTAAAGGAACTGGCCTTTGATTATGTGAAACAGCAATGCCAGACTGTTATTCGTCGTCCTATAAAAGAAAGAATCTTCTGGGTTACCTCAAAGCCTGTGGCAACACAGGGACATTTAAACACCTTGCCCACCTAGCAGCACTTCAAACTTTACAATATTATAATTTTACATAATTATAATTGTTTAGTTCCATTGTTCAATAACCTTTCATAAGCATTAAGTATATTAATTACAATAACTTCATAATAAATTATGATATCTAACCAAAAAAAAGCAAAATGAATGCTAAATGTTTTAACTGTAGCAAGCCAGGACACCTTAGAAAAAATTGCCGAATGCTTCTTTCAACTCAAAACTACCATGTTAATACTTTTAACAGTCACTCCCTTGGAATATGCCCTAAGTGCCAAAGAGGTGGCACTGGAAAAAAGAATGTAAATCCAAATTTGATCGTGATGGCAGATGCCTTTGACCAGAGGACTCCTGGAGGAGCCAGTCCCAGGTCCCAAACATTCAGAGGTTTACAAAGCAGAGGTTTACAAAAATCCTATTCAATTTGTGTCTGCGGAGAAGCTACAGACTTAAAACTGGAATGCACTTTGGCATGAATGCTTCTACACATCTGTCCAGCTGACTAGCAATACACGAACGAACACATAAGCAAATTCTAAAGTAATTCTGTATCCATCTGAGAAAAAATAAAACCACAAAAAGGAAATAGTAGAAATAAAGCAACCAGCCTGCCATCACCAGGATCCCACATTGGAGCCGGTTTACACCTCAGTGGCTCCATTTCCAACTCCTTTCTCTGTTTATGGTCTGGTAAAGCAGCAGAAGATGTCTCAAAGCCTTGAGAACCTGCTCCCATGTGGGAGACCGGGAAGAGGCTCCTGGTTCCAGGCTTCTGACTTCAGATCAGCTCAGCTCTGGTCATTGAGGCCGCTTGGGGAGTGAATCAACAGACAGATAGATCTTCTCTATCTCTGACCTCTCTGTATATCTAAATTTCCAATAAAAATTTAAATAAATAAATACCACAGACTTGACTCCATGCTTCTTATCACTCACAGCACAAGGGAAGATTTAGGGGCAAAAGCCATTGCTTAACAGCCTGATCTCCATCAGTAGGCACTAGGATCCCACATGGGTGTCATTTTGTTTACCAATTGCTTCACTTCCCACGCAGCTCCCTGCTGGTGTCACAGGAAAGCAGTGACACATGGTCCAAGTCCCCGGGACCCTGTGCCCACATGGGAGTTCTGGAAAAGGATCCAGGCTTTTGACTTTGGATTGGCTCAGTTGTGATCACTGCTGCAATGTGGGGAGTGAACCAGAGAATAGGAGATACATTTCTCCTCTCTGTAAATCTGCCTTTCCAAAAAACAATAAAGTGAGCAATATAATCAAGTACCTGTTCAACACCACCATGTGTGAAAAAGTTTAGAGCACTGTTTTAAACAATAATTTTGCCAATCTGGAAAAGTCCAATTCATCAAAAATTGTCTGAAAGACAATCCCCTTTACTCTGGATCTACTTTTACTGAGTAACTGCCTCACCTGTGATTTAATTCCTTACAAGAGTCTATGATCACCATTCACAAACACATCAGTTATTTTTACCCCTGTGGGATCAGAAACTGACATTCTGGCTTGAAATCAGTTTCTCAATACCAAGCTGATTCTGTGCCCTTATAAAAATGCCTTCCTTTTCTGCTTATGTCCTTCAAAGAACATGGTTGAATTACAGTCACAAAATTTCTTTCACCCCATCCGTTGCCCTCACATCTGGCTCTTGCTTTCCACCTGTATGTCCTTGACCATGTATCATTTTCTATTCTGCTTGTGCGCAGAATAACTTTCTGTTATTTCTCTTCTGTTTCTGCCCTCAAGCCCAGTCTGTGGTACCATCCACTGCAGGCCAGGTCTGTACTCTCAAGTCATGGCATATACGCAGACCACGGCTCCCATTTATCACCAGTACTACTCGCTTTGGAAGGACTTCAGCAGCACTCATGATTTTGCTAAACATAAATGGTTTCCTTGGTATGTGACTTTGTGGCTGTGTTCACTGATGGTTGTTCCACTAATAGATAGGACCTAGATCCCAGCACTGTATGTCTCATAAGCAAGTGGAACACCCACCCCCGAAACTGTGAGGCAGCCCTCCACTCCGCACAGCATTACATAACACACCTGCTAGAAGCTTCCAAGAACGATTGCAGCTGACCTAATGGAGCAGAGCCTGTGCTGACAGTTTGTGTAAGGAGTCACATACCAAAGTCTTGTAATGAGCCAGAAACCAGCGAATACTTTTCAGATGTGATCAGAGTACAAAATTCCCTTCACTCTCATGTATTTCTCTGCCACATTTGTAGGCGGTGGTCACTGCCAGCAGCAGCATCTTTATAAAGAACTAGAGTGAAACATATAGCTAATTATGTTTTACATGATTTCCCAAAGCTACAATAGACAAAAATCACTTTGCAATCTTAGCCATCCCTTCAGCACTAATGTACACAGAGGCAGTCTAAAATCTAGTGTTAACTCCTCCATGATCAACATTTTACTTATTAAATTGAAATAAAAGTGCTGTAAATAGTAGGCTTCATGGTCATGGTCCTTTTTCTTGGGAGGCCCAGTTTATATAAAGTAAGTTAACTAAACAATAGACACCAAAGAGAGCATAACCAACCAACCAACACCCGGCATGCTTGCCAGCTCCCTGCTGTCTGCCATCAAGTTTTCATGAGGTCTCACAGTTCTCACTATTGCATATCAGGAGTCACTACCAATTCAACAGAATTGGCAAGACTGGACATTTATTAGCCATATAAGACTCATAAAGTAACATATAAGACTCAGTTCTCATGATATATGGCAGCAAAACTGTTTCCAAATTCCTTGCTAGTTTTTAAAACAGAGAAGACCCAGCAGCATGGCCTAGATGCTAAAGCCCTCACCTTGCAAGCCCAGGATCCCATATGGACACCGGTTCTAATCCCGGCAGCACAACTTCTAATCCAGCTCCCTGCCGGTGGCCTGGGAAAGCAATTAAGGACAGCCCAAAACCTTGGGACCCTGTACCTACATGGGAACCTGGGAGGAAGTTCCTGGCTTTGGATTCGGCACAGCACTAGCTGTTGCGATCACTTGGGGAGTGAATCATCGGACAGATCTTCCTCTCTGTCTCTCTTCCTCTCTGTATATCTGACTTTCCAATAAAAATAAATCTGTTTAAAAAGAGAGAGAAACATGTACTATCTTCTTTCTATTCTTTCCATTTAATCAATTATGAGAATGTTTATATTTAACGAAAAAAAATTTTTAAGTTTAAAAAAATTAAATCACACAATCAGAACAAAAGCTCAATTTTAACTAAATTCATGTTTCCTTCCTTCGCTCCCTTCCTCCCTCTCTCCCTTCCTCTTTTCCTCTCCCTCCTCTCTCATAGATTTTTACAGTCTAGCCCTATATATTGCCAAAAGGATCCTAGATTAATCTATTCCAGATTTCTTACAGCCGTAATGATAGCTAAGAACAGAACTATGTAATATATGCATGTTTTTCACCTTGTAGCAGCTTAAAACATGACTGCAACTCTATTGTGAAGTAGAAGAGGCAAGGAGGCTACAGGGCAAGGGTGCTGCAGCTCATGAATTGTTTTTATGACTACAGTCTGTGACCCTTTATAATGATAATCCTCATCATGTACCCTGACTCTATTGTTTGTGCCACATTGGTCTACCCATGTTGTATATGTTTGAATGACCAAGAGCGGAAAAGCGATGATTTCCTGGAGGATTCCAGTCAATCTCTTTTCCAAACCACTGTTTGGTATTATTAGCCCGTTGTTTACTGAACTGGGAGGATTTGGTCATAAGTAGGAGAAGTGCAGGACAAATGCAGCTGATTAGATATGAAGAAAAAGGATATGTGCAAAGTAGAGCACATCAGACGCCTGATTCCTCTGTCCAGACCATAATGCATTTATCCACAAAACAGCAGCTCAATTAAACCGCCTGACGAGTAAAGACTATGATACTGAGAAAGTTCACTTCAGCAACCATCATAACTGCCGTAAGAAATAATGTCAAATAACATTAGAGAAGAGAGTCCAGAGATACAGGGATAATTGCTGCTCACCAGCAATTCTCAAATTTCATTTCAACTAGGAGGTAAAGCTTCTCCCTAAGTACTGAATATAGCACAACTGGCTGTTTAAATGTTTAATTTCTCAAGGCGCTCACTACCCTCCCCATATAACACACTTCAGCAGTCAGTCAACAAGACAGACAGAAGGAAAACAAAGGAGCTAATTCACAATGGCATAATTAAATCCGGTAGAAGTTTGGGCTGTTTACACTTATAAATGTTGCTTATTTGAAGCAGACTTTGTGAGTCATGTGCAAATGGCCACCTGTTGGCAGCGGTGACTCAGGAATGGCCCTGCAGATGAAGGTAACCTTACTGAACATGTTCCTTACTGAACATGCGTTATGCTGGAGCCTTCCCGGCTAAGAAGGAGTAACAGAGGGACAGAGCCAACCGAGGGCCACACAGTTTAAAAGCTCGTTTTATAACACTGAAGCACCCCTCTACTTCACTACAATTTCAAACTATTGAAATTTATTCTGTGAAAGTCATTTTGCATCCAATAAAATGCTACATATTGTCGATTTTTTTTCAACCAGTTCATTAACTGAGCCAGAGTCAGATAAGGTGACTGGCTTGCCAAAGCTCACAGAATGAGGCAGGACTGGATTACAAGCTGGGGGATAGAAGGGGATGACTGTGACTGAACAAAAAAGAAAAGAATGCGGTGTCTGCTTGACGTCTTCAGCAGAAGCGAGGTGACTGTCTGCCTTTTAGCTGCCTGCAGGAGGAGTAAGATGCTATTTTTTTTTAATGTATTTAACTTGTATTTCCAGTACAACTGATGTGTATACTTCCAGAAGGGTAAAAGCCAGACTGGAGTTCTAAATCTCCATAACAAGAATCAGGAAACATAATTATTCGCATAGGGTTATCCAATTTTTTTGTCTATTCCTCTCGTTATAAACTTGTCATTACTATGAATTTTTTCCCTCTACCACCTGTAAGCCTTGTCAACCCACCAAATTATGTGGTTTCTCCGGAGGGAAGAACAATTATTATTACTATATTACAAAACTTGAACAAATCCTTGGACAACTGGACCGTGGACAGGATCACAAGCTGGGTACTCGGAACTTCAGCTAATGGGACTTCAAACAGCAGAAATGCTTCCCTCATCTTCTAACCTTCCCCTTGATGGAATTAACTGAGTTATTCGTTTATTTATTAAACTTCGGGGCTTATTTAGGAAAACCATAGAGTAATTTAAAGGAGGGTCGAATGAATTTGTTTTGCCGCCTTAACATAAAAGGTAACCTCCCACCCAAAATGTCTTGAGCTGTTAGTTACGGAGTACGGGGTCCTGCAAGGTCTTTCCATCCTTCTAACTAGTCCAGAGTTACCCACGCTTGTAAAGAGGGAAACAGCAGGTGTCTGCCCCAGGGACCGCGGCGTCCGTCCGTGCTGTGTCCCCACTGGACACCTGGCTCAGTCACCACCGGCAGGCCCCGCGCCTACGGAAGGATACGCTCCAGGTAGTAAGCGTTCTCGGCGGGGGTCAAACCCACGCCCAAGGCTTCATCAAGGCCCTGCAAACTGGACGTGGGCATCTCCTCAGGAGCCGCCATGGGCGCCTCGCCTGCGCCCCTGGTCGCGGCCATCTCCGGGGCAACCTCTAGACGCTTCCCGACGGCCTCAGACAACTCTCGCGAGATCTCAGCTTCTTCCTCTTCCCCTCCCTCTGGGCGGGCCCCTGCGCGAGGCGTTTCCTTGGTTACCGGGACAACATGGTTGCCTGGTAACCCTGAGAGGCGATAGCTCCCGGAGTTGAAGGCAAGTAGGAATCAGCAATTTGGATCCCATCTCCTCTCCCCAGCAGCGCGGATTTCTTCCACTTTAAATCTGTAGTTCCATTCTCACTTCGTTTTCTTCCCTACGTGGCCTTTCTCTAGGTTCTTACGTGCCCACTGCCGGTCCTCAGAGGTTGGCAGAGAAAACTGCTAGACAAAAGGAAAATACTCGGTGTCTGGGTGAAAAGCAAAAAAGAAGAAAAGAAATTTACTAGAGATAGTAAATGAGAGACTGATACAGTGGCTGCTTGCGCACGTAAAACAATGAAAAAGTGGTAACCGCCATCCGTCCTTTCCTGGCCATCCTTCCTTAACACTTTAACCTGCACGTCTGCTTTGCCTGGTTTGGGAAAGTATTCGTAACGCTCATTCTTGTCACGGTCCAATCATTTCCACAAAAACTCATGGCCTGTATGATGTGTAATTGACCATAGTCCATTCCCCAGTCATAGTATAGCAGATTCCTCGGGTCTGTGCTGTAAAGGTGTCAAAAGCATCTGCAAGACGCTTCCGTGCAATTTTTTCTTCATTCTACACTTTTTGATGCTAGAGAATGATTGTTTAATTGCTATCATTTGTTATTTAAAGACAGTAACAATTACTTAAGGACATGATTGAGAGCTTGGGTTTTGGAGCCAAACACTAAGGATTCAGACTACCTGTGAAACCGTGGGCTGTTCAGGCTAAAGCCCCTGGATGTCAGGGTGCAAGATAATCAACCCTCAGAGAACAACAGAGTCTCGCCAGTAATGCAAGCAGCAAACAGAGTTTATTGCTGGGGTCAGACCACACTTGGGGCACGCAGGCCACCCAAAGCGGGGCGGTCAGACCTGGAACTAGACCAAGACAGAAGCTTATATAGGCCCTTTTGGGCTGGGAAATACATCAAAAGCAACAACCTTAGACATGTTAATTTTTATGGACTTGAGGCCAGGGAGCCTGTTCTGTTCCCTTACCCATTATCTTTATGGCTCATCCCATTCTCACACCCTTCTTATCTTCCTCCTGTTCCTGGGTCAGGAGAAGAATTGCGCCCATGCGCCCATCCCCCCCCCGCCCCCCTCCCCCCCCCCCCCCCCCCCCCCCGCACCTGAGTTCACAGAGTTGCAAGGCAGCAAAGAACAGATTTATCGCTAAAGCGGAATCCTCCCAAAGTCCAGGCGCCCCCTGGCCTAGTAAAAGTAGCAGCTATTTCAGCCCAAAGGAATCTCACACTGTCCAACGTTCCGTTCTAGCATTCTAATGTACTAGAATTCTAACATAGCATTTTATTATTCTAACATTTACCTACACTCTAACAGGGCGAACTATGTAATGGCGTTAGTCCTCAATGTCCTTGTTTATAAAATGGAGATAATATCATATTATATATTATTTACATCCCGTGTTTGATTTTGTTCTTTTCAACAGCCAAAGGTCCCAATTATACTAAGAGATGCAAGTATCACTCCTGATTTTATTTTTATGTGAACCTGCCCTAAATGCAAGGAAAAATTACAGGGAGATAAAAATACAAGAGAACTCTAAAATTCGGGGGATAGCTGCTTTTATACAGTCTGCTCTGTTTCAGAAGCAGGCATTATCTCGTCCTTCGAGGCTTAGTTGCACAAATCCAGCTCTGAGCAGCAGCCTGCGTTAGGCGAGGTCAGCACCGTGTATTTGCAGCATGCTAGGAAGACAGCCAGGAGTTTGAGTGATCCTTGCAGGAGGACTTCTCAGAACAATTAGTATTGGCTTTTCAATAGCTTACCTCTTCTTAATTCTGCGTCGAAGCTTCTGGACTGGCTCTTGTGGGCGACTCTCTGAACCCTAGGTTCCAGATGCCTGAAACGGAGCTGTGACTGTAGACTGTGGCGTAAAAAGTACATGCTGATTTGGACACGCACATGCCGTAGCTGAGCGCCTTGGTTTGAGTACCAGCTCTTTTCCTGATCCCAGCCCCTTGCTGATGAACACTCTGTGGAGGTAACAGGTGAGTCCCTGCTGGGTAATCTAGATTGGATTTATGGCTCCTTAGCTTACACCCGACCTAGCTCAGCTGTTGTGGATATTTGAGGGCTGAACCTAAAAATGGTTAGTAGATTTGCCTTTCCAATAAAAGTAAAAACAAAACAAACAAAAATCCCCTAAGAGGCTAGCATTGTGGCACTGCTGACTATCCTGCCATCCCATATCAAAGTGCCACCTTCCTCATGCTCCCATGAGGGCACTGGAAGATGACTCAAGTTAATTACTCCCTGCCATCTATGTGGGAGATGCAGATGCACTTCTGAGATCCTGGATGAGCCTGCCCATTGCGAGCCTTTGCAGAGTGAGCTGGCACATGAAATATTCTCTTTCTCACTCCCTCACTCACTTGCTTGCTCCCTCTCCCTGTAATAATATCATTTACATAATGAGTTTTTTTTAAACAGAGTTCATTCAGCTTCTAATACAGACCCACACATTTCTTTGCTGTGCCAGCTGAGAAGCCCTAGATGCAATGAGGACTCCAAGCACCAACGTCTCCTACGGGTGGCAGAGACCCAAGATCTCGAGCCTTCCCGGAGCATTAGCAGGGTGCTGGATCAAAAGAAGAGCTGGGCTTCAAGCAAGCACTCAGCTGTGGGATGCCAGTTGCTCAACCCAGTGCACCAGTAAGCCCCCTGTCCGTTAGTTCATTTCTCTCATATACAGTAAATTTTAAAGTAAATCAAGGGGAAAGATACCCATTTCACTCATAAATAATAAATGATAAAATAATCACAGATCATTGAAACTATAACAGTATAACATTTTTAAGCATATTTAAACAGAGAGAGAAAAATTTCACAAAACGGTGTCTGTAACAATACTGATATAAACAGGCATTTCTTTGCTTTTAAAATGTTCGCCCCCACATATCAGGGGAACATGTCATATTCGTCTGTGTCAAGATTGTCTCACTCAACATGATGTCTTCCAATTGTGCACATTTTCCTGCAAATTATACAATTTCATTCTTTTATAGTGGGATAATGCTCTGTTTTGCATACATACCACATTTTCTTGAACCATTCATCTGAAGATACACACTTATTTTATTCCAAATTTGGGACATTGTGAGCAGTACTGTTACAAACGTGGTATCTCTTTGATACGATGTGTTCACGTGTTTGGGATATATACACAGAAGTAGGAGTGTTGGTCCTATGGCAAGTTTATTTCTAGTTTTTAAAGAAGTCGGTTTCTCACACTGGTTGCGCTAATTACCCTTCCCACTGAAGTCCTCATTCTTCCAGGCATTTGCTGTTCTCCGTGCTTCCGGTCTCAGTCATTCTGACGGCGGTGAGAGGATGTGTCACTACAGTTTTGATTTGATTTCCTTGATGGCTGGTGATGTTCAGCATGTTCCCATATTTGCTGGTCATTTATATTTTTTCTTAGAACTGTCTGTTGTCCTGGACCTTTATCATCTCAACTTTGATTTATCTGAGTTTTCCTCTTTTTGGCTTTGTTAGTCTGGGTAGAGGTTTACATATTTTGCTTATCTTCTCAAAGAAAAAAAACCCACAACATTTTATTTATTCATCTTTTGCCTGAAGATTTATTTATTTTTATTGAAAAGTCAGATATACAAAGATGGGGAGAGACAGAGAGGAGGATCTTCTGTTGGCTGATTCACTCGCCAAGTGGCCAGAACAGTCAGAGTCAATCCAACCCGAAGCCAGGAACCAGGACGGGAGCCTCCTCCGGGTCTCCCACAGGGGCGCAAGGTCGCGAGGGCTTGGGCCATCCCCGACTGCTTTCCCAGGCCAAAAGCAGGGAGCTGGATGGCAAGCAGGCTGCTAGGATTAGAACCAGCATCCATAGGGTCCCAGGCGCGAGCAAGGCGAGGACTTCAGCCACTAGGCTACTGCGCCAGGTCCTGTTCATATTTTGTACTAGTTTCATTTTCATTTATTTCTGCACTGTTCCTTATTATTTCTCACATCCTGTTGTTTTGGGTGTTTGGTTTCTTATTTTTCTGAGTCATTGAGGCGCATCATTAAGTATTTCATTTGAGGCATTTCTCTTTTTAATGTAAGCACTTAATGCTGTTATAAACTTCCCTCTCAATATTGTTCTTGTTGTATCACACAGGATTTGATACACTGTGTTTTCATTTTCATTTATTTCAAAGAAGTTTTTTATTTCCTTTGTAATTTCTTCAATGACTCATTGATAGCTTAATAACATGTTGTTTAACTTCCAAGTATTTATGAGCGTTCTATTGTTCTTTGTGTTCATTCCGGGTTTATTCCTTGGATACATGGTATGATTTTAATCTTCCTAAATTTACTCAGACACAAGCTATGATTCAAAATTGTGAAACTTACTGAGAATTCATTTTTGTCCTAATATGCGTCTATCCTAGATAACGTTTCATGTACTGATGAGAACAATGGGTGGAGTTTTTTTAATTTTTATTTAATTTTATTTTTTAGCTGTTAGGTAAAATGTTCTGTAAATGTCTCTTAGATCCATCTACTTGATAGTATATTTCAAGTCTAATGTATCTTTTTTGACATTCTGACTGGATTATCCATCTATTGATGAGAATGCGGTGTAGCAGTAACCCGGTATCACTGTAATGGAGTTTATCTCTCTGTTTAGACCTAATAGTATTTGCTGTAAGTATCCTGGTGGTTGGGTTTTTATCTTGGATACATATATGTTTATGATTGGTATGTCTGCTTGCTAAACTGAATTTTTTATCAAAATATAATCAAATATAATGTCCTTTTATTTCTCCCTTTGCCATTTTTTTAAATTTAAACTCAGTTTCATTTCCTAACAGAGTTCATTTTTAACATTCATGTGCCTGGAATATTATTTTCCAGCCCTTCACTTTCAGCCTATTTGCACTTTGTGGGGTGAGTTTCTTGTAGACAGCACATACAGAAATCATTTTTGTTTTTATTCATTCAGCCAACCTAATAGGTTTGGCTGGGAA